TCTTTTTTATTAGACAGCTTTGGGCCCGAGGTGGTCTCATTTATTTATCAAACATTTATTAAGGACAAGTACATACTGCATACAAATACATAATAAACAGAAAGACATTTGTCCCAAAAACGGTTCTGATTGATTCGGATCATCATATTTGTTTTAAAATCAACTGGTTAATTGTTAAAAAAATAATTTTTCGGCATACGAAAAACCAAAAATCCGTTTTCATCAGATTTGACCTAAATATTTAGATGATATGTTTATTAAAGTTAAAAAACAAAACACAAAAAATACTAAATATTATGCGTTCATTCAAAATCCGAATGGAGGATTTTCTATGTTCAATGATTATCTATAATATGTTGGGGAAAAACTTTCTTTGCATTTTATACGAAAATTCAAAACTTTTTTTTAATAAAGTTTATTTACATTTGACTACAGTATGTAGGTAACATTTTGTTCGATAACTTTTTGCCAACTTCTAGGTAGGGACATGATCCCATTGCTATAGAAATTTTGGGACTTCAGAAAACCGCGACAAGTACTTTTGGCAGTCCTTGCGTGATGTTAACCTGACACTGCCTAAAGAATTATGAAGAGACCGAAACGGGTGACAATCTGAAGGAGCAAGGTCAGGACTATACGACGGATGCATTAACATCTCCCAGCCAAACTCTTAATTTTTGGTGAGTGGCAAAAGATGTGTGAGGTCTAACGTTGTCATGATGAAAAATCACACCCTTCTATTAATTCTGGCCGCTTTCTCTCGACTTCCTGTTTAATCTCATTAGTTGTTCGCAGTAGAGTTCAGAATCAATGGTCCTGCCTGGCAGTAACAACTCAAAATGTATAATGCCCTTGTAAAGCCACTATAAAGATAGGTATTAGTAATAGGAGTTGGAAGTAAAGAAAGGGTTCAAATTTAAGGAAATAATATAATAATAATTATTATTATTATTTACATGTCGGAGGGAACAGCGGGGATGGGGCTGCCGCGATGTACAGAGGTAAGCGCACCGCAAGGGGCAGCACCACGGGGTTCCGAAGACTGCTTTAAATCCGCACAACTATCTAACCATGATTCCATGCGACTCCCGTTACTTCGTTGGGTGGATCCGCCCTTGCTGCCATCCGCTTCTATTCTTGCAAGTTCAACCTGCAGTTCTATCTCGAGTACTTCCGCGTCAGCTTGTATAGCCGCTCGTTGAACTTCCGCAGATTTGCGGGCGTAAGCTGCTTTCACGGCGAGCGTACGGGCACGTATGGTCGCGAAAAATGTAGATGACAATGAAACTGATGAAGCAGCGACGGCCACCGAGGCGGCCGCAACGGCGGTTCCCGGTGCTTGGGCAGCATTAGAAACCGGTTGTGCCGCATCGAACGCGGTTAAATTTATTGCCTTACTTTGAGCTCTCGTTAACATAGTTATTGGAAGTTTTAAAATTTTGGAAAATCTGCATCGGAGTTTTTCCCGTCTTAAATAGCGAAATGACAGTTGCACGTAATTGTTTCGTTCCCTCTATCACTAGAAAATATAAACAAATGCATTTGCGATACAAATAAACTAAACGTTAACTTTCCAAATTCAAAATCGGTAAAAAAAAACAGCCAGTAACATTTTATTTTTTCAGTAAAAACTTTGTCTAAAACTTATGAGGACACGAGGCATATGCGGAAAGACTTTTCTCCCAACCTAATATTAGCATAGTGTACCTATAGATTTTACATTAGTTTAAGACGTCATGTCTTATCGTAGGTACTCAAGTTATACTTTATTGTGTGCCTCGACTTTGTCTGCGTAGGAAACTGACACGGTTAGAAAAATTACAAGCATTTATTTACTGGTATCCGAAGAATCTTAGAAGATTCAATACGAGTCACTTAATAAGTTTTTTCTTTACAAAATGTCTATCCCCAGAGTAACATTGTGATATAGCTTATTGAAAAAGGTATATATAGATAACTTAAAACCAATTCACTCATACTAAACTCGACATAGAAAGGTATTGAGGGTAGACATACAAAAGTGGCCTCGATGAAAGTATAGTGGGCAGTTAGTATATTCGGGTTTACCTGATATGATATAATTCAATTTATGTTCTTGCTAAATATTATTTATGTGAAACTAAAGCTATTGCCATCGGCCATCGGCAAATCTATGGTGTACCTACTGAGGATGTAAACCGACAAGAAATTCTACTTTTTTCTCCCTGTTTTATTTCATACAAAGATTTCGAATTATAATTAAAGAGTGACGTCATTGGAATATGAACTCACTTTCCATTACATAAAAGGTTACAAAAAGAGATATTTTTTTCGTTAATTGATCATTATACCGTATCATACAAATTCGTTGAAATAGAACTGATATACAATATGCATTATAATAACAGAAAATAAATAAAATTAGGTAGTTCAGAGTAAACTCATCCACACTAGCAGCACCCCGCCAGCTATCGCTGAAATCAATGGTAAGATTTCTGTCAGTAGTCGTTAATAAAATAAAAAACAATAATTATATGTAACCTGTCCATATTTAAAACAATTTCAGGTATGCTGTATATTGAGTATGCGACTCCGCACTCTCGTGCTGAGGTCGAGAACCTCCATTACAATAGATGAGACAACGCCGCCTCGCTCGCCGAGTCGCACATCACTATATGAGTACTACCTATAAATACCTTCCTACCTACCTACTACATAATTACTGCAAACAGCAAACCATCGCACTAAATAATAATGGAAAACCTGCGCAAAAACATTTATACCGGTGCCCTTGAATTAACAAAAAAAAAAAAACAAATAGTAATGACCTCGACACATATTATGCATGACCACGATAGAAAAGACTATTATTCCATTTACGTTTTGTAGACAGGTTGATTAGGGCGAGTGTTAGAATGCATAGTTCGCGTTTTATGAATACGTTATTATAGAACTAGAATTACCGGCTAGTTTGATTTGATAAGGTGACGTCACAATCGTCTGGGCCCCCAATTTGACGTCAGCTAGTACGGTGACCCACAAATCTACAGACACAATAAAATTCGGCAATGTGCGGTGCGAAACGATGCGGGTCAATGAACTGTTGACGTATTTAAAATACGTACAAAAGTAGGTACCTTATCGCGCGAATGTAGTACGGAACGAGGCGGCGAAGCGGTTTGCTATGTATATGTTTGCAAAATGGTTATTTATAGACGCGAGTGTCCGTGACGGATGATTCGTGCTATTTCCTAAGGTCTGAGAATTGGTAAGTACACTAAAAGTGGATATTTCATCAGTTAAAGCTTAAATTAGGATTAAATTGGTGACATTTTAGAGACTTATGTACCTAGTTAAAATTTCAAATAATAAAATAGGTAAGTAATTGTAATTTATAATTAGATAGCTTTTATTTCATTATTTCTCAAGGTAAGATAGATTTTGTGATTTAAACCACAACACAAGTATTATTTTAATCTCAATTGATTAATTTATTATTGTATAAATCAAACCTGTTTTATAAATTCACATTATCTACAAGGAGGTTAACTTCCTTAAGTACATTAAAACTGGCCATTAGGATAAAGAAAATTTGTACAATGACTTTTCCATTATTTGTAATCCAAACTTTTAAACAAATCTGTCAAAAATCCTAAAAATAGTGTTGTCCGAACAGTTGTCACCGGTTTTCAATTTTTTATTAATCAATGAACTTAAGGAACCTACTTGTTCAAGTTGTACGTGTTCTTGTTTGTTTCACTTTAATTGACTATTAATGAATTTTTATTATTATTTTATCGTCTAATTATATTGCGTTTATATATATCTACCAAAGTCGTCATCCTTTATGAAAGAGAAAATTCAAGACTAAAGATAACGCCGGAAATCTCGGCGAGAGTGTTCGTTTTACTGCTTTGCATTAATTCTATTGGATAAAGAAAATGTGAGAAAGGAAGTGTCTCTGTAATGCCGCTACAAAACGCACTAACAGCAAAGCCCTTTTTGCTAAGAAAGAAGTCTGAATTGGTCAGTTAAGCGATTTTAGACGTGATACTAGCTTCATGTAAGACTCATATTAGCGGTAAAGGGCTGTTGTGGGACCTTATCTGTACAAAACGAGACACCCGCAGTAGCCGCCCTATCTACCTACATAATACGGCGGATACAGATCCGAGTTTCTTTTTACACACATATGAACTACGAAGGCCAGTTTTAAATATGTGTATGTGTCGCGAATATGTACGGCTTCAATGATCAGCAGGTGTAAGCGAACTTTAAAGCAAGGGGTTACTGCGATTAACTCCTTTATCCCTTCGTTTCCATATCAAAGAGTAATGAACCTTGTTCTACTATTGGACGTTGTCGATTAGTAACCGTGTGACTGTTACCGCGTTATTTTTTGTATTGCCTATTCACAGATATGTATAGGTATATTTTCTTTGATTATTTATTGTTTCCTGGTATATGTGTAATGTTAATTTATGCTACCTTATTAGATATCTCTTATTAGATTGTTACAAGAAAGATTTTATTATATTCCAGTAAGAAATATGCACTGTTTGAATTTATGTTTATTATACTATATAAGTATGAACTAAATTAATTTTTTGATTAGGATAAAAGTTATAATAATGCTTCTATCGATAATTTTTTATGTTTATTAATAATATCTACATTTTCCAAATTTTTCTTTAAGTTCCTTTTTGTAATATTAATGGTTCAAATAGTTGCTAGTAAAGTTGTCTCTGAATATATTATTCAACCTTAGAACTTTCTTCAAAATTTCCCTTAATTTTAAATACCTAACTACTACTACTGTGTTAAACTTTGCAACTTTTGCAGTAAGGGAGTTCAAAGATATTAATTTTTGTAACAAAGGCGAAACACTGACACTAAATCGATTACGAATAACGAAGGTCATAGTTTGCAAGTGTGCGTGTGTATGCAAGTATGCAGCAAGCTCGGTGCGGCGTTGTTGCTGCTGCACGCCTGCACCGCCAGTTGCAACACCCTCCCCCCTTCGCTTTCGGCTTCTCACTCGTCGCCGTCTTGCCGCTAGCCTGTCTCACCTCGCGGCCGGCAGCCTTGCGCGACGCGCCGCGCTCTTTCACATTCAAAATTATTCGCAACGATTATAAAAAGTCTCTGTGCAATAAAAATATTATTTCGTCTTTCGATGCGGTCGCAATTGGCTTTTGCAACAGAGACATTGTTAAAACTTTATAAACTATTTAAGTGCCTTTAAAACTTTGAATGCACTCCTCGTTGCATGTCCCGCGCGCGTCGTTATGAGAACCCCGTACTGGCGGTCACGTTGACGTCGCGCGGTGCCGCCATATCTGTCTCGGCCACCAACTAGCAAAATTAATAGGTAATTATATTAGTGTACAGTGTTTTTCTTTGGAAATTTTGCACAGTGATCAAGTGTTATAGTGTTTTTTACCTTCTTAAATCCTCCGTGGTGATTCTAGTTGGATTCTTTTTGGAAATACAGCCCTCGCGCCGGCCGGTTCTTATCGGGTGCAATGCAGTTGCACTCTCAACTTATTGCAGTTTTGCATTCACTAAAGTTTCATGCGCGAAAAGTTTCTTGTGTTTGTTTTTTGCCTCAAAAGGATTGTTAAAGTGTTTAAAAGTGAATAATAACAAAAAGTGAAATGTGTAATAGCTTATAAAGAGCTGTCACAGTTAACTCCACTGTGTTATTTCGGTCATTGACCGCAGAATTTCGCATCTCCTTTATGTTAGTGTCGGGTTAAATTTTTGACATAATTCCGATTTTCGTTAAAGGGCCAAAGTAAAGTGTCACCTCACTAAAATAACACAATGACCCGCTAATTCGCTTTTTGAAAATTTGCCTTTACCCGGATGGAATGAGGAGTGCACGTTCCCATTGTTTTACAGTTTCATATTTCATTTGTTTTTTGTTTTTCGGACGATTACAGAGTTTTCATTTTCTTCCAAAATTACAAAAATTACAAATTAAAGGTAAATATATAATTTAAATCATAATTTGTGAACAATTTATTTGTTGATGTTCTGATAAGTATTTGTAGGTACTTGCATTATATAAAGCGTGGCTCTCTTGAAATTCTGTAGTATGACATCAGCCTTAGGTCAACCTTAAGTGATGGCTTGACTAAATTTGTCATAGTAAAATTGCAAGTTGTAGTGTCCTCTGTAAAAGTTGCAGCTGAAAAGTGCAGTGAGTGAAAATCCATGAAAATTTGTGCAGAATGGCGGAGGGCAATGGAGAAATATCCATTGAAGAGGTACCTGGGAAGGACTCTGATGTAGGCCGCACACCAGATTACCGCAAACTCATTGATTATGGCTTGGATCCTCAGGTGAGCCCTGTTAAAGCTTCTATACTATTATAACAAAGCAAACCTTTTAAATACAAGTTTTAATTTAATGTAGGAAAAGTAAAATGAGGGCTCCATTGAAGTTTTAATTACTGACAGCGGGCGCTGAATTCATAACTTGATTTTCATTTTTACTCCTTTGTGCTTCAAAGTATTATGATTTACCTTCAATATTTAGCTTTTTATTGTTTAGTATCTTATATATCAAAATTTATATGTATTTTTTAATTAAAAATTAAAAATTGTTTTGCCGAAGTCAGCTGCTTTTCAAAACTTTTTTCTTAATTTGTTCAATAGTACCATAGGACCTTGTGGTGAAATTGTTAAGTACATTATTATTTAGTATTGATTTGCTTTTAATGTTATAGTGAATGTTAAATAATATTAAAAGTATAAAATATTTTCCAATAAGAATCATATAAGAATATATTATAAACTCCATGAAGCATTCTGTTCAATGGTTGCACATTATGTGTTCTTATAAGATTCTTAAAAGAATTTACATCTATTTATTTTCCTTTTATTTGTTTATATTAGAAAATTATTTATTTAAATGCATTCAAATTACTGCCTTATACATAAAGTGTTAAGGTTCAACTCAAATATTACTCTATAAATAGCATTTAGCACTAACAAATATCATTGTTATTTGAGAGTTATATATGAATCATTGGTATTTTATAAAATGATCATTAGTTGTCTGTCTGTAGTGATGTGGACAATCATACCCATATCATACCCACCACACCTGGAAATACCTAGAAATTATTTTGATAATAAACAGTCACATCCATAATAATTATTATGCACTTTCTCTATGTTATCAATATATTATTGTGACCCCTGCTTCTTTTATCTTTAATACCTGAATCTTTGAAAAATATCTGTTGCTATGATCCATTGTTTGTTTTGGTTTGTTTGACCTTGTTATTCAGTGTGCAAAATTTATTAGTTCAATATAAACTGTCCATTGCCCAGAATTTAAAAAATTGATCATTGTCATATATATAATATTATTGATTATGTTATGAGTTAAAGAAAGTTGTTGTTAGTGCAATGAGTATTGAATATGGAGGGGAGATCATGCTATTTTCCTTGAGGGTGACCTCACAAACTGAGTAGGTGTCTCATAAATACCTGTTTGAGGTAGCAACTGGCTATCCTCTTTTTCGTGATATTTATACTCAATTTATTGAGACTTTCAGATAATGTATGCCCTATTTGATAAAGTATTTGTAGTTCTTTGTTGCGTTAATCGTCATTTTGATAACATGACATCGTAATGACGTCAGTCTAAAATTGCTTTGGCTCTGTGTAGGGTTGCCAACCGTACAGTTTCAGAATTTGTCCGGGTAGAGTATCCGAGCGGGGATTCGCATGTATCCGGGCTAAAATATTTTCGCGTATCGGCGTTCGGAAACCGACAAAGTACCCGGGGATTTGAAATCTTTGTTTATATTATGCTGCTGTTGGGTAAGAGATCTTTCTTTTCTAAAATATTCACGTGGATATGATGGAGGATTATTCTAGTTAACAACACTGCATTGATAAATATATATTTTTTAAATATCCGGATTGCGTAAGGTTATGGATTCGAATCCCATTTCGGTCATATTACTAGGTAATATCGTTGTTTTACTGTCTGTATTTCATAAGTATTTTTCTATAACATGACTTGCGTTTTTAACAATATTCTTAATGAATAGTGCTTAAAATTCTACTAGTCCCAGATACTCTGAGGTGGCCTATAATGTTTAATTAGATAATAAAATTGACGAAAATAAATTTATTTTTCTTGTTAGTGGAAAGAGTTAGTAAACACAACGTGTGCGTAGTACTCCGTTTATCAGTTTACTTTTATTCTGTCTCTATTTCCAATATTCCTTACTTTTGCTCACTTTAGATTTGATACAGATTTGAATTGGGATTTAGCATCAATCGGTGCTTCTAACTAACATAAAATAAATCCATTTGATGTAGATATATAATTCACATCTACTCAACGTGTAACCGCTCCACCGAACGCATGCGAGACCGCACTGAGCATGTAGTCCTCTACTATCACACGGTTGTCATAAGCTTCTATATTTCCGTTCTTAAGCTCCCAGTCGAGTTTCTACTTAACTTTGCAATGAGAAACCGTTTCTTAAGGTATAAAGATAAAGAATCTATCACAACGCACGATGTTCTATCCCGTCAGATGAGGCGAAATGCGCGTTAAACCTATTTTTAATTAATTAGTCGCTTCCGTTTACGATTTTTGTAAATAATACAAAGTGGCGCAAATATTTAGCAATTTTCCTAATGAAAGAATGTAAAAACGAGAAGAAATAGAAAAATGGTGATTTTTAAGGGTGACTAAATAAATTCCAACAACAAACGAATTCCGGTATACCCAGCTAATAAAGTTGTTGAACACAAAGCTATTAATTTTAAAGATATAAATACCTTAATTCTGTAAGAATATTCAGAAGCATACAACTGTAGTGCATTCTATGTAATTATTTTAAATTAAAACAACTACCTAGTAAAAGCTTGCCTGACAACATTCAGAAACATTAATTACGCTGACGAGAAGTTGTCAATATTGAGGACAAGTCACCTATATACTCATTTAAGGTCGATTTACAACTATTTTACAACGCGATCGAAGGAAATCGAAATTAAAAATAAATGTGATACTAAAAAATTATCATGATTTTTCATCAAAAAACTATAAATTGATGTGATAACCCTTACGATAGATTTTAAAAATTTCAGAGTATGCTTATAGTTACAGTGTGATCGCAATATTTTTGATAAACTTTATATTAATTATGTATAATTTTTAAATATTAATATGCTGAATTACGTCTTATGGCGTATTTACACTGGTCGCTGACATCCGGGCGCGACTTCTGTTCCTCGCTTTCATTGGTCTGGTACGATGCGCCTCGCATGCTCGTTATACCTCTTCCACATCATTGGCAGTCATATCCCTTCATGCTTTTAGTTTTTGTCTGTTTATGAGGTGGATTCTAGGTTTCCGTTCATAACGTAGGTCTGAATCTCTAGAAAGCACGACAAACAAATAATTGCTACATTTATTCAATGGATTTTCAACTTTAATGTGTTGATAATAAAATTTAAATAGAATATTCGGCCTTTTTGAGTATCCTCATGTGCTGCTGTCTTGCATTTCTAACGTCAAAACAATTACAAAGTTACCTTTTAAATACTTAATTATGTATATTAGCTTCTATTATGATGAGTCTCATTGTCGCCTTGAACTGACATTGGGGAATTTTAAAATTAATTTCTTGGATAGTTTGCTAGAAATTTAATGTAAAATATTCTGGCGCTCGTTATTCTGCGCAAGACCTTTAGTGCGTGTGTCTCTTATTTATTATGGCTTATTGTAAATACAATAGAGAAAACAAGACAAAACCATAAACTATATTCCAATAATAATTCGCAAGCCATTTCAAGTATTGTAAAAGTTCTCAGTAAAGCCTCACATACCTATTTATCGATTTCATTGATATTTGTTATTTTATTTTTGCATCTAGAAACATCAGACAGTTTTACATTTAGTAGCTTTACTTAGTAAAATAATATGTGTTATCAAATTTACAACCCACACCAATGTCCCCTAAATAATACATATAAAATAAATACCTAATTAAATACGAGAAGTAACGATCAAAACTGTAAATTTTAGACGTGAGTTTATAATTTTATATTGTGTATGCAGAAAATTGTACAAGTTAATGTTTTGGCCCAATCAATAATCCATTTGATATTGTAGTATTATAATTTTCAATTAAAATTTCTTTGACCGTAATTTATTTTATGCATAACATATTAGTACAGTGCAGTAAAAGATGTTTAGTTTATAAAAGATGTATAGTGGCCGCCAGCGACTTCCATTATTTCTTCGCTCCTAATAGTTGCAGCGTGATGTTGTATAGTCTAAAGCCTTCCTCGATAGATGGTCTATTCAACACAAAAATAATTTTTCAATTCGAACCGGTAGTTCCTGAGATTAGCGCGTTCAAACAAACAAACAAACAAACAAACTCTACTCTTCATTCTCTTCTCTTTTTATAATATTAGTATCGATTTATCGAATTCATTCACATATGTCTTTTTAAAAACATCAAACGCACTGTTCCGTAAATATAGATTTTAGCACTAGTGGTTCTGGAGATTGTTTCATTCAACCTTTGCAGATTTTTAGTGTTAAATTAAGAACACAAATCAATTCGAATAAAACGCACCGAAGGAAGCGGACTAATGAATTTTCTATTAACGACAAATGACATTTTAGTTTTAACGATTCAGCACCAACGTGTGTGCGATGACGAATTCGATATTTTGAAATTGCTTTCTTTTTACCCGACTGCGCGACGCAAAGGAATGTAATGTGTTTATCAGTCTATGTATGTATGTTTGTTTCTATGTGGCGTTCTAGAGACCAAATGCGTAGGCCGATTTTGTTGATTCTTACGTCGATCGATTCGTCTTAATCTTGCGAGTGTCACTAAAGACATGACAATAATCAAAATTCACCACAGCGACAACCAGACGCCATATTGTGAAATGAAAAAAAAATCGACAAACTATGTCAAGTGGGGTGTCGTTGAATAGGTATTTTAAAATCATCTTTAGGTTCCTTTTATCACCTTTCATTTTAAATAATAGTTAATAATAGTCTCATTAAATCTCAAACATCGTCAATTTATAACGAGACTCGTTTAAAATCCCTCATAGGTGTGCATATCACGTTAGATCGTGCTGTCAACACAAGCTTTCGATAGTTTTTTCATTACAACTTGTTGGTTTTCATAATCCTTATCTCACAATGGAAGATGTTTAGATAAAACCAGGAAAGTTGCGTTATGTTATTCGGTTAGTCTCAAATTATTGAGTGCCATCGTCACTCCTACAATAAACTATAATATGTTTTTTTATCGCACTACACATTGGTGCAACAAAAAACTTTCAATTTTAAATGAAAGTATAATATTAAATAATATGATGAACTTTTAAAAGTGTTGCTATTGAAAAATGGGTAAATTGCGATAGCATTACATACAATAGGGATGTAGATTTTTTTTATATATTTTTATTTTATAAATATTTATTAATATATCTAAAATTATTTTTAAAGGTATCATACATAAACTGACTAAAGTCTAAAAATAAATATATTTCAATTATCCCACTGCCGGAATACAGGGCTTTACCTATTAATGGAGCGGGCCCAAACATGGGCCAAACCCATAACGGATTGGTGAGTGTTAACGTCTGCAAATACAGCAGGGCCCAACAACTTGACATGTTTTAATAATTATACAAAAATTATAATTGTTTGTTGACCAACTATCTCCGTATTGAAGACCAAACACCCTAACTAAACTATCGAGCACTTTTATTCCTAACTATTCTTGAGAATTAAGTTTGGTTTTATTATAAGGCGAAAGCTTTTTAAGCACACCAAAGTTTACAACAGAAAGTAAAGCAGCCTTAACCCTATATCTTGAAAAATAATATTGAAAACATCTGATGAATTATTAGATTAGTTGAAAAGAAAAAATTATGAAGAAAAGAAGTAAATATCATATAAGTGATTAGCATCGGCCCTTCTGGATCATCAGCGCTCATGTTGTCTAGCTGTTTTATAGAAATTCTGAATAAATGATAAGTTTTAAGTTACTTTGACTATATTTTAGCGTGATCGCTGTGGTACAAGGTCCTGTCAGATTTATGGGTACGTTCATTGTGTAAAATGCTTTTTTAAATTTAGAGATCAAATTTAAATTTTTGTTAATAATTTTCTTTTTTAGAGTTAATAACTTTTAATATCAGTTCCCAAATGGCGCACATCTGTTGAAAGTACGATATGTTCGCATATGGGTGCCAACTTAATGTCGGCGAGTGTAATTCATATCCTGTCGGGAGCCGTCGGCCCCAGACAGGAATGTACCTAATCTGATGATGTTAATCACAAGGAACTGTCTCTGGTTTCCAGGTAGCCGCCAAGCTGGACGACATTTATAAGACTGGAAAGCTAGCGCATGCAGAACTAGATGAGCGTGCGTTAGATGCCTTAAAAGAATTTCCATCCGACGGTGCTTTAAGTGTTCTTGGACAATTTTTAGATTCAAATCTCGAGCATGTATCTAATAAAAGTGCATATTTATGTGGAGTCATGAAGACCTATAGGTGAGTGTAGCTCAAATATTTTATCTTGTATCTACAATCAAAATATTGGATGATTGCCAAACGGCCGGGCCTCGGATCTAGGTCACTATCTCGAAAAATTGATTTGACACATTATCGCGGCGCTCGTTGGCGACTGTTGAATTTAAAATTTGCGCTACTATGCAGCGATGACACGCTCGTATTCTTTGTTAGACTCTTTTTAAAAGTGTCATCGTGTCTGTGAACACAATGGATGAAGTGATCGAGTCGTGACTGCCGGGCAGCGCGTATAAAACAAAAGCAAATGTGCCGCAATTATTATGCGGTGCAACATCCGTGGAGGCTGCACATGGCGACAGAGCCACCGCCACCATCTGTCGTCTGGCTTCCTGGTGGTAATAAAGGCTACATTGCAACGAGCATGCTTTACGCTTTACGGTTGGAATGTGCAAATTCGAGAACAACTCGTTTTCTAGATCGCTCTCTAAAAGCAGTCTAAACAATGAGGTTGTCATTCAAAGCGTCTCTTGGTATTTAACTTATTGACCACTGTTCTTTGCGGAATGGGAGAGTGTTTTATTGACGCTAATGTGGTGGCATGCGAGTGAGACGTCCGTGTGTTGGTGTCGTCGCCTCGAGATTAGATTACGAATGGTCATTAGCCTCGGTAAAGTCATGACTTGATGCAGAACCTGTTTGCATACATGATTTATAAGATGCAAATGGGCGTTTACATGAGACCACAGACCTTGTCCGAGGCCGATGCGTGCAATAAGGTATATGTGGCACGTCCTCACTGCCTTGTATCTACCGCGAACGTATTGTAAGAGAGCAGAGCTTCAATCTAAATTTTAGTAATTAATTTATTACTTTAGCTACTTCATTCAATAAAGTACGTGGTATTTTGGTAAGAACAACGTATATTTAGTCGATTATTAATAGTTAATCAATGCGATCTACACATGCACTGCCTTCTAGACACCTTAAGTCGCTAAGGCCGTAGTTACTACCGGATGTCGTGTTAAAATCCAATACATTATGTTTTATACTGGCTCATACGTTGTCCTGACAATGTTACAATATGTAAATCCCATACAAAGTAAGGCTACTAGTTTTTTAGCATTCTATTGTTTTGTGCAACTTTTCTGATTTTAAATAAAGCGGTTACATTTTTCAAGAAACATTGAAGCCGGGCGGTTATCGTTTAATTAAACTACAGAAAACCTCAACCCGACTTCAATGTTTCTTGAAAAACTTAATTGCCTTTAAGATGAGTATTATTTCTCGCTTTTTTACAGTATGAAATTGTTTTATCCATAATTATCTTATTTATATTAAAATAGGCAATTCAATATTAACTAATTAACTACAGACATTCTCAATTGATGTTCGTGTTTGATTTATAGAAATATAAATTAATTTACCGATACAATCTTTTACCTGCTAATTAATGCAATACGTTCCGTATCGTTTTCGGTGAACGATCGCTAACTACAAGAACTGTTTAAAAAGATGAATCAATTAACACGCTCGGTTCTGTCTTTCATTAGCCGTTATAAATTAACACTGGTTTCTTAAAAAACCCAGATTTAATTAATATATATATATATATATATTTTGTTTATTAATCATTTATGCAATTGCCTTACACTTACATTCTCCATCTTTTCTAGTCTCATAGTTATATATGGTTAAAAGTTTTTTTTTTTTGATTGGACAACATTTACTTTCGATATGACGTGCATTATTTGAAACATTTCAGACAGAAAAGCAGGGCGGCCGTCCAGGGCGCTCCCGCCCTGTCAACTTCTGTCCAGGTCAAAGGGCCAGACGAGGAGAAAATCAAACAGATACTGGCCAGGACCGGGTACACATTAGACGTCACCACAGGTGAGGTTTTCGATGATTAAACTACGAAGATATCCAAATAACACAGAAACACGTTAGAAGTATAATGGTTAAATATTATGGCTGCTACACACATGCCCCCCGGCAGGCGATCTATGAGAACCCGCAAAAGTTGGCTTCACAGGCCTTCCGGCTGTGTGTAGCAAACATTAGCAGTAAAGGGGGAAAAGGATAACGTAGTCGAGTAAAATTGTTATATTAAACAAAACCGTTTACCCAAAAAATCAATAATAACTAAACAAGAAAGTAACACCACGGTAACTAGAAAGGCCGTTGAGAATTCAAAAACTTTCAGTCAGTTGCACAAACGTCCATTAGGTTTAATGACGCCTTTAAGCTCTAATGAATGCGAAATTTGTATGAGTAATGTCGCTTTAAACTAATGATAATTTTAATGGACATATATGCAACTGGTTGTTGGTGGTAATACGAGGATATATTAAGCGCTTTTACTTAAGAATAGATTTTTTGAAGTGTAAAAGAAGGACAAACAAACTTAACCCCTGACGGACCAAGGTGTTCAAAATGAAAGCCTAGTAAGTTTGATGTTGTCAAATATAATCTTCAAAGGAATCGTAGTGAGAACGACGATTAATGTCCAATTAAATAGACCAGCTGCAACCGCTCCGGTGGTACAAATGAATGTCACAGCAGGTCACCCACCTTGCGTGAATCAAGGATGTGGCTGTCCCCTTGCTGTAAACAAGAATATTTCGTATCTCTACACGCCGAGTTGCAATATGTGTATTTTACAATTACTATTTATATAAAGATAACAAGGTACACGTTTATATTGGTTGGGTAAATAGCTTCGTCACATTTTTTATTATTTTTTAAGGTTCAGTATATTGAAAGAAAAATACGGAGCACTTAAAAAATCACTCGCATGTCTGATTGTTTTTCGAACGTCTATCACAGTTCATATTCTCTGATTACTGGACCTAACATTTGAAAAAACATACACCATATCGATATATACATACTAAAAGTATAGAAAATGTTTATGAAGTCTAGATTAGGTTAGGTACCACCTGGGATTTATTGTAAGATACCAGGTGCTGTACCAAGAGAGAGGGTAGTACAGGAGATTTTGCACGGTAGGCCCACTGCACTGGACCGTCGTCTCTTGCAGTGGGAGAGCCCGGGCTCAGTCGGCCTCTAGCCCAGGTCGACGACATGTTATCCCCTCGGTATAAAAAAAAGGTTAGATTAGGTATGGAGACTCAATTTTCCGAACTTAGACGTTCTAGTGCACAAGCTTTTTGGGGTCTTCACTGGTATCGCGTTGTATTGAAGAATACTTATTCGCTATTTACGTGTTCCCGGTGTGCTGCTAGTCTCTCGCCTGCAGGATGTGTGAGCGATGGTTTTCTTTTGTTGACAAACACTCCCTGCGGTGATAACTATAATATGGAGGTGGTGTATATTCAGTGAACAGTGCCCGGTTGTACTGTATACGATTGTGTGATATACGATTTGTCGCAAGTTAATGGCTTGCACCCACCGTAGGTCATGTTGTGCAGCAGGGCACGAGCTTAACATGCCCTTACATTTAGAAATGTATCGGTACCATAGGGTAGGCTCTCGTTGATGGGGAGCTGGACCTTGTTCGTCACAGCTACTTGTTGCAAGCTTTAGTTACATTGATAGATTAGTCCAGAGTCCTGTCCGACAGGATTCTTATCTAAATGCGCTCAACTTTTCTAGCCTTGATTACTTCGCTACCATTAATCATACCAGTGCATTCACATTGGAAAATTTATGCGGTATAATAGCATTGAAATGTGTATGATCAGCTTAGACGAGTATGCACCGATCTCAGTGCCCTAGTCGGTTTTAGGCCACCTGCATTGTATTGTTTCAGGTAAGGTAGAAATATATCTATCAATCTGATATGTTTAGTTTTTTTGATCAAATTTTAATCAGCTGTTAAAGCACGTCCAACGGTCACTCACTGCCTTAACTGAATCAATTCGTCTCGAGTTAGCGATGGTATATATGATATAACCATTGAATCATGTATGTGATATCCTCTATAACGCTCGTCCATTGAAATTTATTAGGAACGAATTTTATGATTCTAATATTAATTTAGTTTGTCTATTGATAATTTAATTTAAATAGTAAAAATAAAATGTTGTAAATTTAAAGAAGCCGCCTTGATAAATTGCTATTGGCCTTACGATTACTTTTCACACAATTAATACACAGTCCATAGTTTGTAATATGATAATTAAATAACACGTATAATTAGTGAGCTCTGCTACTGTGTGGTGAATCCATATTAGCATAAGTCAAGACGCCTGATTTTCATACTTGGAGGCACTGTAACAGTATTGAATTCACTACGTATTTTATTATATAATATCTTTAAGCTTATAAACGCTCTGTATAAGTCGTCGACATGGGTTTAAAAATTAATCCCTAAATTTCGAGTCTACCACACTCTTTCAATGCTTTGTGTTCTCAATTATACTAGAAGAGGAATCTTGGTTTATTGCTTGTATTTGCTTTAAGGAGCCGAAAATCGTGTATTTTACTTGTTAGTTAGTTACTTGGTACTGTGATCTGCTTACACGTTTATCCCATTGAAAACTTCATTCAATTTTCGCTAGATAATTATATATATACTTATTTATGTCTTAGCTTATATTTTATAAACAGGACAGCGCTCAAAATTGATATCTGTGAAACGCCTGTACGAACGTCATAATTGCCAGCTACATGACAAAAATCGTTAGTTCTACTAAATTACCTGTTATGCCCGTATTGAAATGAAATCTATGATATATTTGTGTACTCATATACGACATGTAAAACATGTTAGTTATAGTTCAATAGACATACAATTAGTTATCGTTTAGATCATAAAATCTGTAATAGTAATCTGTTCCATAAAGAAATAAATAAAAATAATAAGTAGCCGTGGCAGATGGACGGACGGACAACCGAGTAATGCCGTAAAAGTTCCCTTTTTCTCTACAAGTTAAAAACAAACTTTTAAAATTGTCGTTATCACCCCACAGTATATACTGCTGAATATACATTCGCATACTCAAGATTTACGCACGGTAAATAACTGAATCCAAAATCGATGACATTCAGTGTTGACCCCATAGTACTGCCCTAGTCGATTCGGAGCCAGTACAGTGCTACTGAATTCTAAGTCGATACCAGGTCAGCGATGACTCGCCTCGATTTTGTAGTCGGTTACTTATCCCGGGTAAATTGGCCCTAGTGCACTTTAAAGGTCAGCCGGTGGAGTGACCTTCGTCCAAGAACCCGGTGAGTAAGTGAGTGAATGCATGTATTGGCGTCAGGTCAGCGCAAGTATGGCGGCCCGCCGCCGGGCTGGGAGGGGGGCACGCCGGGCGCCGGCTGCGAGGTGTTCTGCGGCAAGATACCCAAGGACATGTACGAGGACGAGCTCATACCGCTGTTCGAGCGCTGCGGGGAGATATGGGACCTGCGCCTCATGATGGACCCCATGACCGGCACCAACCGCGGATACGCCTTCGTCACCTTCACCACCCGCGAGGCCACCATGCGCGCCGTCCAGCAGGTCAGCACGCGCCTACTCTAGCCCGCCTCCCTTGCTCCCATCTCCCTCTCGACCTCTCTCCCTCACCTCACCCTCTCCGTCACCGTCGCCGTCCCGGACGGAACGCTTGACGATACTCGTACGTGAAGGTGCATTTCGAACGATGCGCTAGACTACCACGGGACGGGTGACGCGGGATTTATATCTGGACTTTAAAGATTGCTCCGAGAGACGAGTGTTTTAGCTCGAGTGATATCCGATCTGAACTATGCCTCGTGTCTCTGTAGTAAATTATTTTATATTTCGAATAAGTGCCGTGAACAACTACATTTCTGCCACTGATATCTAAACGACATGTGACGCTAGCCATTTAGGCTTTTAAGGTCTACCGTATCGTTCGAAAATGAAACGTTTGACGTGGCTCTTTAAAAAGACAATCGAAGATTCGGGAGTTCGGGCTCTCCCTTGACGTGCAGATCTCGCGGATTTATCCCACCAATGAGTTTGTATTAATGGCGCTGATGAATAGTTGCGTTGCCTTCATTGAAGAGCCCGAACGCAGTGACTTATTGCGATACGAAAACGACTCGATCGAAACTATATTGCGGATAAAGATATGAGCATGCTTAAGTAAGTATAACGCAGGGCTTTAAACGGTCCTTTTAAGACTGGAGACTCGATTTTGAATCGCTTTAACTCACGGAGGCAAATTTTGCTAATGTAAACGTAATGAACTTTTTTGATTACAAAATTATAAAATAAACACTTAAAATTAGCACAGTTTTGCTTCCAGAGAGTCACGTATTCGTTTGACAGCCTTCTGGCGTAGATTTTAATTGATACATTTGCTCCTCTAGACTAAGGTTACCGAGCGATTGAATGCGCTTAGAGATTGATGGTTGGGGATTTGTTGGCACCTGGATGATTTCTTATCATTCGAATCTTTTATATCAGTGTTTTCCTCATTATTCAGATAACAGATAACTTACTATCAAATATTAAAGTAAAAGGAATGGAAACGTTATATTTAGAACAATCAAAATATTAATGTCCCCTGTCCCCTTATTTACAAAAAAATCGTAATTTGTAATTCTGTATTTAACTAAGAGTTAGAACTAAATTAGATTATGTTGTTATATCTTATATCCGAAAACGGCCAGTTGTTAAATTGAACTGAATATTAGGAGTTCCTTTGGTCATACCGCTAACCTACCATCGGACCTAAGAAAAACGCTATAATAGTATACATTTCATTAGTGCAACTTTGCACAAGAATGGTTCAATGTAATAATACAAATGTCCTTCTGTTGGCTCATCGATCTCTTTTAGCTTATAAATAGATATTATTACATTTGGGTTAACCTAATCTAACCAAAAAAATTGCAAAATTTGATCACAATGCTATTATACTATACTTCGATTCCCTGTGTTAAAAAAATTGTAACTGTAATGAATCATCATGTTTCATTTGTTAAATCGTGGACCAATGAAAAGTCAGTTTAGAAAGGTAGATCACAACGACTTCCCCATTACCAACAATCGCCATAAATTCCAACTTTACAGCCACCGCTCCATGTCAATGTACCCCTGCTCTGTATTCCTCAAAAGGCATTGTCCAAATGTGTATTACAAACCTTAAAGTAATCTACATAGCAAAACCTTTAAAAAAAATCACAAAGTATCAAGTGTTATCACTTTATATTTTTATACTGAATAACTTAATTCCGTTACATTGCGCTTTTTGTCCATGGTTATTTGATACCAACCAACACATTTGAATAATGAGAACTCTTTGCATTCTATATATTTATTCAAAAGAGCGATAATCTTGGATGGTTGGATGTCTACTATTTACGATTTGATTTAATAAAAAGATGATGTAGCTCAAGATTATGGCTCTGTTGAAATTTTTGCAGTGTAAGAGGAAATATTCGATACGTTGATTGGTGCCGTTATTCGGTGCGTTTGAACTGCAGTTTGATAAATCGATTTAATCCATAATACATATCAGAAGGTGTATCGATGGAGGCACCAATTTCGATCGTAATAAACTTACTCAGGCACATCAGTACATATAAGCGATATCTTTAACGCACTATGTGTTATCGCAAGACTAAGTAAAACCTTTATATCAGCAATCAGTAATACTAAATTGTGTTAACTCTAAAATTTATAATTGATTTTTTTATCTGTTTGATTGGTACATTGATTTGAAACAAAATTATTCTAATTTGACATCTACTTTCCAGGTGACACGGCGAATGTTTAAGTATAATCCCTTGACAAAATAACTGAATCATAGCACTGTAGCTAACCCTAGTCTGGTGACTTCACATTCCTAGTAACCGTCCGAATTAAATTATTAAGCTCCTCTACTACCTTAACATCCTTGGGACATAGACTTTGCTCTTGATACACAATTGTAAATAGACAATTTTGACAAAATTCCCTGTAACGCTGAAGTCTCCAAACTAAGGTGTCACTTGCAAGGTTACTCGTCCCCATCGGCCAGTATTTTTGCAAGTCCCTATCGTTTGCCTGTTGAATAAGTTCACAGTCATACTTGGGATATTTAGACATAAGCTTCTTCTCTCATTTAAATAGCATGACATTAATATCCCACATGAGGGCGGTCGCGTGCAAAGTATCTCCCATTATATTCCACCATAGTCGGTATAGATAAAAGGTTAACAGTAGAAATTTTCCTTTAAGATGCACGCGATCGTCCTCGCCATATTTGTAATCACTGAATCGTATAAATGTGCAAACATAACACCCTCTAAACCGATCAGCCTCGCTTCTCCCGTGATATCATCCTGTTCTTACTGTTGCACCTCGTTAAATTTTAAGTTGCTTTAATTTTTTTTTTGTTACCATCACACATACCGCTTGTTTTATTTTCACTTCATCAACGGTCCACTTACAGGGTTAATCGATTGGCTTGAGGTTCTCGCGGTGAGACGTAACACATCTCCGGCTCTCCTCTTTGCTCCGGAGCGCTTGCTCATATGTCTTCAGTTAACTCACGATTGGCTCTAACCTGACGCGGCCCGCGCGCTCGCTTTCCAAATTCATCGGCCGACGTTCATCGCCCGTCTCGGCTTATCATCCGAACCGACAGATTTTTCAAAAACATTCCCTTGTTATTTGTCCCACAGCTCGATAATCACGAAATAAAACCTGGGAAGACTCTGAGAATTAAGATTAGCGTACCGAATCTGCGACTTTTCGTCGGCAACATTCCCAAGTCTAAAGGCAAAGAGGAGATACTGGAAGAGTTTGGTAAATTAACAGGTAAAGTGTCACTCGAATGAATTAAGGAGTTTTAGTCGGTGGGTTGTGCGTGGGGCTTGGTGTGGACCGCTGGGTGCCCCGCTTGCGTCCCGCTTGTCCCCGCTGCCCGCTGTACCCCGTGCCCGGGCCCCGTGCCCTGTACCCCTGTACCCCGCACCCCTGCCCGCCTCCCGTGGCCCCGTCCCGCCCGCCCCGGGCCGGTCGCGGCCGCGCGCCCGCTCCGCCCGTTGGCTATTCTCCTCGAATTGTTCTTGCAGCTGAATGATTATGAAATTCGAAAGGGGAAAAAGATTGGCGTTACCGTTTCCTTTAACAATCACCGGTTATTCGTGGGGAATATCCCTAAGAATCGAGATCGGGACGATTTGTTTGAGGAGTTTACTAGGCACGCACGTAAGTCCTTGTCGCATTGCTATAGCGGTCCGGCAGCGGGCTGGCTCGGCTCCGGGCTCGGCCCGCGGCCGCCGGCTCGGCCCCCTGTCCGCCTGGCTCGGCCCACTCTCCGCCTCGCCGTACATGTTCTCTCGGACGTGTCGTTTGATTCGCTTCATGTCGTAGCCTCGAAGGAATGTATAGCGCGTCGGGGCCGTGGGACGCTTTACTTTACATTGATCGCTTCGCTCGCCTTTCGCCGATCTAACCGTTCCGTGTGATTGCAGCGGGACTCGTCGAAGTTATTATATATAGTTCGCCCGATGATAAGAAGAAAAATAGAGGATTTTGTTTTTTGGAATACGAGTCTCACAAAGCGGCGTCATTAGCGAAACGTAGATTGGGAACAGGTAGAATAAAGGTACGTCTCGATGCTCAATGCCATTGACATTATATACAGACAGATAGTATTTTGGCTGATAGTTTTTAACTTGAAATTTTACTAATAACCACTGTTTATTAAACTTGTCCTTCACAAGTTAATTCAATCTAAACTGAAAATTCATAATGCGATGTCAAAACAGCCTGTTGAAAATGTTTGTTCACATAACTTTACTGTCTATTTTCTCATAATTATTACAAATAACTAATAGTGTTATTACAGTAAAACAATCCTAATTCTAGGGTTATAATATCTAAATAATCTTACGACCCAAATGCAGTCCGTTTTCCTTCGCTATATATTAATATTTCATGTCCTAAGATTCTACATAAACAATTATGTAATGTTTTGGTATTCAGGTATGGGGCTGTGATATTATAGTGGATTGGGCTGACCCCCAAGAAGAACCCGATGAGCAAACGATGAGTAAAGTAAGTATATTTGCTACATGTTGCATGTTGTCTAATGATCAGCGTATTTGTGTTTGCTTTCACCGCATTATCATAAACAGCCATAACCCGATTGTTGTGGAACCCTATTCTATCGAGATATACGTACAAGTCATTATCGTCACTTTGTATTTATGTATCTAACAAAACTGTGACTATTTTTTCGTGATTATTATATCGCAAGTTGTAAATCAAAAATATGAGAGGACCTAGGTGTATGCCTTGTGGGACATGCATCCGCTGAACCTAATGGATATCTTGATGTCAAAACTATGTTGTCTATTATTCAAAACATTGACACGGGTAAAGCGAATGTAAAATTATATCTCGTGAAAAACATTATCAAAAGCCTTAGATAAATTTCGAGTCATAGTAACTTGTGATTTGGCCAGTTCCTTGCAGTGAGGCTGAGTGAACTTAGCGTAGTTTTTGAACATACGCGAATGCTTGTTAGCAGCCCTATATAATATCTATTATACTGATTTATGACTTTTCGCTCATTTATGTTTGTGTTAGATTGGATTCATACTTAATAACTGATGCATATGTTGTATGCTAATACATAATGCTTCAGTAGTACATAATCTTATTAGGTTGATTATTATTTAGGTTAAAGTACTGTATGTAAGGAACCTGACGCAAGAAATAACAGAAGAAGCGCTGAAAGAAGAGTTTGAACGTTATGGAACCGTGGAGCGCGTCAAGAAAATCAAGGACTACGCATTCGTACACTTCGACGACCGGGACTGTGCAGTAAAGGTTCGTGACGGAGATTTCCGATAAAATCGTTAATATTAACTTGGTACAAGGTATTATTTATTCAAATAAGCTTGTTAAAATCATTTTGAAGTTATCTATATTGTTTATTAATATTTAAAAATAGAAATAAGAAACTTCTCAGTTTTTAATAGTAGTCAACTCTCGATTCAAATTAAAACTTTCGATTCAAATTAAACTAAGAACAACCAGAATACACAATTTTGGTATTCAAACTAAAGCTGTCATTCACAGGCAATGCAAGAATTAGATGGTAAAGAAATGGGAACCGCACGATTGGAAGTGTCTCTGGCAAAACCGCCCTCCGATAAGAAGAAAAAGGAAGAAATACTCCGCGCTCGAGAGAGACGCATGATGCAGATGATACATGGCCGAGGCGGGTAAGTACTAACCGACGTACATGCAAACTTTCTCTTATCTTCTTAAATCACTACTAAGGAATCTGTATACTAAAGACTTCACATATCTGCAATTCAATATCAATCACCGCGTTTGATAATAATTCATATTAGGTTCCATATAACAATATTCCTGTCGGTCGACTAGGATAGAATATATTGATATAGAAAACAGCTAACAACCGTCGTAGAATAAAAGCTTAACACATATGCGACACTTTTGCGATAGAAGTCAACTCGTTCGATAACCTTAAACGAGCATAACGCATGTATTCGTTATTATTGTGTAGTATATATAGGGAACTCAAGATAGACATTTGTCACTGATTATTTTTTATTTCGAGATTCGGAGGGGTAAAGTAAAACAATACACTCATTTGTTTGGGCAGTTGTATAATTAAACATTTGGTTTACAAACTTTACAAAGTTTACTCTATTTGAATCCTTTAAAATTCATTGCTATTGAAATTATTTTGATTATAATAAAAGATCTATTAACTTGTAATTTTTCCAGCAGTATTTATTTATTACGCTTCTTTTATTTCTTTTTGCTTTCTTTAAATATCGACCACACTGGTCTTCTAGTTCACTGAATCTCTGCTCTTCTTGCGTTTTTTTTTTATGTGGGCCATTTGTTTCAAAGTTTCTGTTGCTTTTTTATTTATATTTTATTGTCGCACCAGTTTCGCACGGTTAATTTACCGATAAATATGTAAATACATTCACGCGCACTATCACTCGACAGGACCGAAATTGTTTTCTTAACTTTTGCTACGAGAACTCTTCAAAATTACGATCCCATATCAGGGTTAGCGTAGACTGTAGGTGGAGACGGCAGTAGGCCGTGGTGCATTCGCGGCGTCGCGTGGCATCTTTGAAACATGTGGTCCCGATGCGCGCTGGGCGGCGGCCGCGTCTAACCTGTGGCTATTAACTGTCAGATTTGATTGGTGCAGCTGCTCGCCCGTGCACGGCGCGCTGCGCGGCCGCACGCCGCAGCCGCAGCCGCGCCCGCCGGCCGCGCGCGGCGACTACGGTCAGTGCCTACACGTACACGCACACCGACGTACACACACACGCCAACACACTACTCTAGGGTCACGTCACCACCCAAAATGATTTAAACGATAGACTCTCGGTTATATTATTTGAAATTTTTAACCTATTGTTATATCAAATAATTTATTCGAATGTAATTTTAGGTCGTTTTGGTACTATATCTATAAAGAGTTTATCACTGATAGGTAGATTTATCGACGCCTGCGTACGATTAATGGGTTATTCGCTAGCATTGCATTGGAGAAGTTGAAGGATGGGCGATAGATATGAATGACCGAACTGGACCGATATCTTGTTTGGTTCTCTTTCTATAGCCCGTCCTGCAACTCCATTAGGATGGTTGAATCTAGTGGGTTTTTAATCGATATATCCATAATATAGCTATAAGATGAATCTGCCTTTCATTTTTAAACTGAAATGATACACTACACGAACAATGTAGACGAAGTACCACTAAAGTATTGAAGGGAGACAGAGGTCTTTTTATAATTTTATTTATGAATCTCCTTATTTCCATCCACCCTCTATCTCTCTTTAAACCGAATACACTGTTACAAAAAAGTGGTCTACACGGTGTGGTCTCCACGCGCACACTCGCACATTCTGCTACTTCCCCTACTAACAAGATGGCGCCCCTACCTAAGAATTTCTTGTAACTATCGTCGCTATCGCAATAATATAACAATGCCGAGGGAAATTCTTAGCGTATCGGTGATGTCAAAACCATATTCATTAACGCTCCTTCCTAAGCTAGATATTAATGAGAGTTAGCATTTAGGATCAGTGCATGGTATCAGGAGAGTCGATAATCAAAAAGCAAACATCGAATTATCCGTCGTCAAACGCAGGGTTACACTTTAACACGATTAACAATACCGAGTGCATGCGTCGTGGACATTATGGATTCATATTCTGATGTCAAAACTTGATTGTATGCCGAGATTCCTGGTGCGTCAGAGGTAGGTGGTGGTGGGTAAAGAAGAATCAAGACGGTTCTCTCGTGGTAGAATGTATTGAACGAGAGCGGTGTCAGGTTTGCTTGCGGCCCGCAGCGGCGCGGCGGTGGCGGCAGAGGGCGGCACTGGCGACGGATGCGGATGCAGACACGCATGTTGTGTCCGAGTGTAGCTTGGTCCGTCCGTTTCCGGCGGGCGTAGTGTGCGGTTCCGCTAAGGTGTCGGAGTTAACCCAGTGTGCTGCACCCACCCAGAGTTATGTGACACTAGCATGCGTTTTATCGTTAATCTTTTCCCGGTACGAGTGCGTGGAGGCTCGCAAACCGCCAGCCGATAACGGTAGATTATAAGTTAGAGATAGTTTAGCTTAGCCTCTAAAGGGCCTGTGTTGTGTGTTTATAGATTATGATTACGACTATTACGGGTACGGTGATTACCGAGGTGGCTACAATGAGCCATTTTACCGGTACGATGAGTTCTATTTTGATTACGCGGGGCCACCGCAACCGTCCGCCGTCCGCCAGCCTCCCAACAGAGCGCAACCGGTGGGTCCCATACACACTCACTAATTATCACTCTTTATTTACTAGTCACTAGTCGCTGTACTCTCATCATCGTTCTTTCGATTTTGATTTGCCAAATTTTATTTTTCATCTATTTTGGTTAATCCCATCCTCGAACGGAGTTAGTGACTTGGTGAAAAAAAAAAACGGTAGTGTGTAGGCCTGACGGTGGTGATTGTAGCGGCGGGCGGCCGCAGCCTCGGACTCTTGAATGCCGGGAAAAGTTAGCGGGCGGGGTGGCTCGGCCGATCTCACCATCAGGTCTATATGGCTGACGCCACTCCAACTAACATACACCCTCCCCCATCCCCCATCCCCACCCACTAGTGACCGCGCCGCCGCCCGTTGGTTGTGCAGGCGTACGACGGCGTGGTCTGTTGCTAACCCCCGTCTGTCTGTTGTCATTCACGTTAGCGTCGCTCACCTCGTCCCCGCTTGTCATCATCATCACGTAGTGCTTCGCTTGCTCTGTTTTACTAACCGGATAACACGCTTGGTGCTTGTCCACCCTCGCACACATAGTTCAGGAATGATCGATGCCTTACGCTCGGAACGCTCGTGTAACGTTGTTTTATTCTCGTTGCCGCAACGAGGTAGAGAATATGTTAAGAAGACTTACTGACCCGCTTGGTAAATGCCTCACTCAGGACGATGAGCTCGGCCTCGGGCCCAACTCGCTTTACTACGATCTAACCGGAGGCATTCAGGTACCGGATCACACTATACATTGAACGATTACTTTATTAGTCGATGTCGTATCGATGTTTATTAATTAGATTTATCGTCTCCGCATAGTCGGCCATAGTGGTATACGGTTGTCTAGTGTAATGTAGTTTTCCCTAGATTGTCATAAACTTTGAATACTTGAGCTTGAGTAGGTACCTGATTGTTTCGCACTAGTACGATTTGTTTATTAAAATTTAAGTAGCTATATTTTAACAACTACACAGCAAAAGTATTTTTATATTATAAAAAATATATCTTACAGTTCTTTACGCTTACGTGCAGAATGTCCAGATCCAAATCATCTAAAAGCTATAAGGTACTCTTATCTCCATATCTCATTTTATGTGATTTTTAACTACCGCCTGAATAAAAAAAATATAAAACGGAAAGATTTGATTATTTGTTTGTTTGCAGAAGACTGAAACTACTGGACGGATTTTAAAAATTCCGTCATCAGTAGGAAACTACATCATATGTGGTGAACATAGTGTATATTTTACCCCAATAAAACAACCAATAAAGGGATGTAAATAGGAGTGCAAGTTTGTCTATATCCGTGGCATGATATGAATATATATCCAAATGAATAGTTATATAGGACTACACACTTAAACAGTTATATAAGCGAAGCCACAAGGCTAGTAGGTTATATTCGTTTAATTTCTGCTGCTCACTGCCTTGCGTAGCAATAAAGTATTTTCTAGAAAGTGAGTTTAAACAAAAACTTATCTCAAAATTCCACAAGTTTACGAGTACAGCGTCTGACATTCTGAACAGAAAAGATTTTTAATCATATTTTTTTACGATTTAGTATCTTTTGCTGTGTAGTCAAGTAATTATAAGTTACTTTTACATACGTATTGTAATGGTGTCGTTGCAATGCGACCATTTACTTTGCCGCATGCCGTAATGTAAACAACTTGGCGAGGTTGTGTTTAGCTTTGATATTTATTGTTGCTGACCATTATTAGTGATTGAAGTTATAAAGTTGCCTCTCCAAGTTTGAATACAGATTCGAGCAATCTTCGATGCAGCCAAGAGATTGTCCGAAATGTAATATTAGATTTTAGTATAATTTAGTTAATTATAATTTGTCTACCGCAGGTTACCGCGTAACTCGATTGAATTCTACTTATTTCACACCAATCGTATTCAACGTAAAGTGCATTTGATTCGCACCGATGCCAGTTAAATTGAATTCGATCGAGTCGAACGGTAGACCTGCGGCTAGGCGATATTACTTACTTATCTGTTTAGTCTTTTGGTACATACAAGCGGTGCTGTCGACGCCTACATTTATTTTCTTGTTTTTTTTAACAACTATCTGATTACACTCCAAATCTTAAAGTGCGAAATCGCTGCTTAATTAATATTTTCTGAATATCGTTTTATGGTGAGGAAAATAGTTTACAGTTGGTTGATTTTAGAGTAATAAGAATATAAATTTCCTATGTATATCAACCGCTTAAGACATTATGTTATCCAGCAAGCGTTCAGTATATTTTAAAAATGCTTTCCAATTTTGTTTTAGCTTTGACAGACTAATAACGCATTTCGATATGTTAATAAAACAACGATTTCAAGTATAAAATAAAATCTACTCGTGTTACTCTACAAAGTTCAGGTTGCCACAGTGTAGGCAATTTGAAATATATAGTTTAAAGCGAGCGCTGGAGTGAATATTGTACTGTAGACACTCGCGTGTCATCGATAAATCCAAGTGAATAAATACATGTGGCGACCACGGCACCGTCCCGCACGCACTAACGGCAACCACAAGACGCTGCACGACGGGCGTGTCGTAGAGCGGTCAACGACAAACGAGCGCACTATACGACGCGACCGTTGCGAGGTCTCGTTTTAAAATCAATTTTTATCGACTGACGAAATCCACTGCGCTCTAATATTTAATTTTGATCGAATGTCGCCAGACTAGTTTCCCACTTATAATTTGCGGTATAAATAACGGTCGCATGGTATATTGTCGTCGAGTGCATATCTTAAAAGCTTTTTAAGACCCGCAGTGGTCGATTCGTCCGGTTCGGTAAAAGTATTTTATTTAATTTGTCGATCTCCCTAATGCGAGAAACGCGTCGAAATTCCAATAACCAGGTGTGGAAAGATGTTAAAACGAGACTTCGACCGATCAATTATACCGCGCCCTTAAAAACACAAATAATTTAGTTCAAAAACTTGCAATTTGAGTTTGATGGTGTACCGAGAGCGCGGTATAGGTATCGGGCGGCGGGGGTAGAGGGGCGGGGTGTTGTCGTTAGTGCAACGGGCGGTGACCGGGTGCCGTGCGGGCGTTGTGCAGGGGGCTGGGTCATGTGGGACGGGCGGGCGCTGGGCGCGGCGCGGGGCGGCGGGGGCGGGGGCGGGGGCGCCGGCCGCGGCTGGGGCCCGTGGTGGTGCACGGCGCGCCGCGCGTGGCCGCCGCACGCCCAGCGCCATGCGTGGCAACCCGCGCGCCAAGCCAAGTTTACCAGGTCAGTCTGCATACCTAATATATGTAGTACAGCTCCACCGGCAGTCTGATCTTTTGTTTGTGCGAGAGATTAGGTGACACTCGTGCTAGCTCTCGACGAGGTCGTCTAATGCAGTGATCGAAATTGGTGTATACTATTAGTGTACATGAGCCGCTTGCCAGCCTTAATATTGTCGTGCCGGTAACGAACGATCGCTTCGACGCTGACGCCTCGTAGCCGGCGTGCGAGTCGTTCGGCTCCGGAGATCTTGTAGATGTTTTCAAAATATTGTTCTATAAGTCCTCTTTGAACTCTTTGCTCAAGACCGACGAGTTGAAAATAGTTTTCTAAAATTGGGAAAAGACTCCGTATCCACGAATTGAAACAGTCTTATTCGATTTAAATAAATTCACTTTCCATTAATCAATTTTGATAACTTTAATTCAACATCCTATACCTTTACCTAGCGCTTGCGCTCAATAGTTTGAAAGTAGTCTCTATTTAACCATGTTAGCTCGATATGACGTTTGGTTGCCAGTTGTAATAAATTAAGCAGAGCTTTACAAACGTAAAGCTCTTATTAATAACAACATGAAATAATGCAACCCACCATTAATGTTTGGAATTTTCTATTTTAATAATGTACCTATCTCTTGACACTAACAGTGTATTCGATATATATAACTACACAAATTCTAAATTGCAATGATGATGGCTTACTAAAACTTGACAAAATTCAAAATTAACCCTCGACAACATTGGACTCTTTCTCGGTCAGATTCAGAACGATGGATTCAATTCAATAATTGTTTGTTCGTTTCAGCGTGTTTGATGGTTTGCGTGTAATCTGGAAAAATGATACTGTCTCGGTAACTACCTTTCCCTACCTTGTCATCCTTTAGGGCTTCCACAAACTTTGTAATCAGAAGCTCGGTCGAGCGAGAGTCCATTGTGTAAGGGTAAAGTTTGTGGATGACCTGTTCTTTATTTGAGCGTCATTTGTAGAAGTACTTTTGTGTTGTATCATTTATTTATATAAAAAAAAAACTGTTTAAATACCGATTTTATATAGTCGTCAAACTTAAGTTAAAATAAGCAATAAGGAAATTTGCTCGAACAAATGACAATCAAAATTATTTCAACATTGTATTCCAAAGTAGCCTTATTAGGGTAGTAATGGTCTATTAATGTAGTAATGATATTTTACTGAATACTTTCTAATGAAACTGAACGATTTTGGAATACGACTTATGAAAGTGGTAAAAACGTGGAAGTCGCTTTAATCTTTGTCAATTCAATTACAAAGTTTCGTCTTTTACAAGTGCTTTGTAACAGCCTAGACTGAATAAATTATTTTGATTTGATTAGACTAATCTAGACCAAAGCGAGAGTCGCTTCGACCTCGAAAAATTCTCGAGCCTCCGTATGAAATTCATAAATTAATTAGATTAATTTATATTTTGAAAACTTATGATTTCCAATACATTCGTGATCTATATGAATTCGATTCGGACTATGTCATAGTCGTCGTACCAAGGGTTTCAAGAACGGTATTCGGCGTTAAATATCATTATAATTTTGATTCTATCATGTGTATAAGTAAATAGTAAAATCGTTAGCGAGGGGTTGTCGTAAACTGTAGCCCACTTTGGTGAACCGGAGTGGGTACTTTGGTTTTTAATTAAACGACTCTTTTTATGAAATTACTAATTCTCACCCTACCGCTGCATGAAAAGCGTTCAACGACATCCCCTCTTAATGTAGCTCCTAGAATTGTAGTTAGTGAATGGCATTTGCTGTCAGTACACCACAGAACGACACCGTCAATGTCACAGGACAGGAGTGTCGTTAACGACCCGTTCTGAATATATTTAAGGTGTGTAATACAGTCGTAATATTCGAATATTGCTGAGATAGCTCAGCTATCGACAGTTCATAGTTAGACGGAGACACATTTATGTGTTGTGTATATCTCGACGGAAATATAGGTATGGATACTACACGCGGCAACAACGACACAACACATTTATTGTCGGAAGGTACAGCGCGGTCGCCAAAAAGGAAGAATTTCAACGAATCACGACCTCTATGCCTACAGATAGATATCGTAAACGCACGAGTGTATAAGAGCCGGGTCGTCGGGCGAAATTCTCTCTGTTGGGCGAGCGTGCTATAGTGCCGGTCACGTCACGATACACTGTAGCGATCGGTAACGCAGACGGCGTGTTGCAGGTAAACGTAAACATGACGGGGGTCACCAGAACCTCGGCGGGGAGACGAAGCGGCGGCTGGGCGCGGCGGCGGCGGCGGCGTGCGGCTGGGGCTCTAGCTAGTGGCGCCGGCCGCCGCCGCGCGCCCCCCCTCCCGCCGCCGCCGCGCCGTCCCCGCCGCGCCCCCGCCCGCCCGCCGGCCCGCGGCGCCGCCGCCCCCCTGTCTCGGAGACACTACAAGCGCGCAGGGAGGCTCGCCGGACGGCGCGCGCGCCGCGGACGACGGTTACGTTTACACAGCGGACCCCCGCCCTGTAACGAGGGGGTCGCACCCTTTTTTTTTCTATATATGTGTTTTTTTATTTGATTTTCAAGTTTTCGATTTTGTATCGCATCGATTCCGTAAAAATCTTAAAGTAGGAAGTTATGAAATGTTTCGAATGTAAGTTTTCCGTTATGCTTATGTTTTTCAATGTCGTATTAGCCGTATATATTGTTTAATATATACTTTATATTATGTGGTGGGCGCGAGGCCGCGGTTGCCTGTTTGCGGCCGCGCGCTCGGGTCGTAGACCCGTCGACTGTTTTTTTTAATACATGTTATTCAATATATTTTATTCCTGCGAACGCATTTTGCGATGTGATGTGTATTTTAGCAGTAATTATTATATTTAAGGAGTTTGACTGTTGTTTTTTGACATACTTACAACTTAGGTTACATGAGGATTATTGAGGATGAATTATTGATGGAATGAAATGAAGTAGCTACTACTCGATTACGGCTAAAATAGATCCACCCGTGTCTCTTATCTGTATCGATAACATTTCCCGACTGTGTTCCTGCTTTAGTTTTTTGCTTTATTTTTATTACATATTCCCCTATAAAATACATTAGCGTGAGGATGTAGTATTGTAAAGTTCAGGATATCTGTAATGTTTATTATTGCTCTACTAAACTTTTTTTGTATTACGCTCACATAGCATGTCCCATACTGTTAGAACTCTGACTTGTATCAATCTTGTATCAGTTTAATAATATGTGGAATAAATTTGCAAAACTGTGTTTGCCTTATTATAAAGTAGTTTCTTTTCTCTCCCTCGTGACGTATTTTATTAAATCTATTCAAACTTCAATTTCAAATTTCTTAAATCTCCAAAACGCAGAAACTGGAAATCTGGAAATGACTATTTCCGGAAATGTCCAATGCTTATCTTAGGTTTAAGGGGTTGTCACAATCCTTCGATAAAAAGGTTTGGTAGGAGGTGCGGGAATACTTTCTTACATGCCTAAAATTGAATGGATTTTGTTTTTATCACTTCCTTTACTTATTAAGTACAAATCAATACCTAAACTCGATTTACTTTAAATAAGTGACATTCCACGCGAAGCGGACGTGGAAAAAAAAATTCGAGTTTCCGATTCCAGTAATATCTAAGTATGTTCTATTCTACCCATGTGATGCCTTCATTGTTGATAATACCCTCAAAAACAAAGCGTTTGTTGACCACGCCACCGTAACATTGGGATTACATATCGCTTAAGATTATCGAGCTAGTATATACTAGCCATATGGCTAGTATACTCTCAATGGTTTATATAAATATGCATTAGTATCTTTTTCTATAATGCACTGGCTGGTAACGTTTATGACGTTCAAGAGATAAATTATGTCTTCTAATATATTCAATAACTTTTGAAGAAAAGTTTAATAATATTCCAATTCAGGTTAATGAATACCAATGGCGGGGTCTTACTTTTAGGTAAGTATAAATAATCAGTATATTTGAGATGTTCCTCTTACAAAAAGTTGAAATGCCATGGAACGGTTAGTACTAAGGCGGTAACGTGCATCTGAACTGAGTGATCCTTTTTCAGTTTTGCTAAACAGCTATAAGAGATCTCAATTTATATATAATATGCTAAAAACTTATAACAGTAAAAAAATAATCACTTACATGTACTTACATACGTAATTTGCGATTTTGAATTTCAATAAAAAGTATTTTTTATGTATGTACTTATATAGCTTTTAAGTTCCTTATAAATTCACATTATGGTCACCCTACTGTATATTTCTTAGACAACAAATTAAAAAACGAATATCTCGTGGATAAAATGACGTTAACAAATAAATTATATGCCAATTTTTTGTCACAATGTTGTACAAATTTTCAACGTATTTTGTATATAACATTATACCAAGGGGTTGTTTTATTTAATTTCCCACCACAAATTTTTAACTATAAACATTTGTGGTGGGAAATTAATTTGTACAATTTGTATTTTGTAAGCATATTGCCGTATTTCTAGAATCACTTATCTAAATGCATCAGGATTGAGTGATCCGTTGAAACTATCGTAGAATACTGGATTTACGTTGAAGTATCTTGATTTTTTTGTAAAATAATGTTACAAAGTCTGTACAAATTTTTGATGTGAAAATTTTATTCACAGTGTAAGTATTTCCTGAGAATCGGCTTGTAGCCATTTTGTCTAATGTCTAAATTGAGTGTTCCACATATTGGGCAATATCTTCGATCGCTTTAGAGTGAGTGAATTTTTTGATTACGGTTATGAGTTTTGACAAATTTTGACTAAATGTACGTTTTGGTTTTGTTGAAAACTGAAAAAGGATCACTCAGTCCAAGATGGACATAGGTAGGTATGGTTTGGCAATTACCGTCATTTTAAGTCCCGGGTTCGAGACAGCTTGTGTGTGTGCTCTTGTGCCAGAGTGAAGAAATACGTGTATTTGGCAAATTGCGCACATGTGAGCCAAATGTGTACAAAAAAAGGTAAGTAATAGCAAATGTGATTGAATTTTTTATAGACGGCACTTTTAAAACATGCCCTACTCCATTTACTCAGATTTTCTATCCGCATGGAGATGTTGGCAACACATTAGATAATACTAATGTTATACCATTAGTGTTCGCACTAATGACTTAAAGTTCATTTTGATTTTGAAATGAAAGGTTGTTACTTTCACTGTCGCAAAAACGTTAACAAAAAAGCAGATAAACTTGGTCATTCAAAAGTTTACGCAGAAAAAATAATTGTAGGGTTAACAAATTATAGCGTTGCTGCCTTCACATCATATCATGGAATGGTGGCAGTTTATAAAGGCTTTGTGTGTAGGCAATATAGAAATGACCAAAATTAGAAGATACGTGGAAACTTTTCGGTTGAAGAAACATTCGTTGGATGTGATTAGTGTATTCGGAGAAACGTATCGCACTAACAACGTGCTTGAGGGATATCATTCAAAATTGAATAAAAACATAAACATCAGCAACGAAATATTGTTGCGTTTGTTGAATAAAATTATGCCATACCAAGGGTCAAGATCCATTACAAGTCAAAGAAAAAAAAGCAGATCAGTAACGATAATATGATCATGGAAATCCAGATGGGATTAGTGTCTCTCAGTAAATGGAGCAATTTAGAAACTTATTTTTTATTTTTACTTCTCGCGGTATCTATACACATTTGTTCACTTTGCTAGGGTGAATAAATAAATAACGAGTGAATAAAAACTTTTTGAAAAAGAAAAAAAAATGTCACTCATGTCTGTCGATACATGTGAACGTTGTTGTCTTAACTAGGAAAAAAAATTAAAACGTTTATTTGAATAGTTGCTTTTTATTAACGACACTCCTGGGATGTCGTTTTGGGGGTGTCTTCAACAATGATAATAACTCAATAAAGATGATATTAATATTGTCGGTGAGATCCCGTTGTAAACAGGACCTACCTACAAAAAGGATTGCATCGACTCTTAAGTCTCTGCTACAAGTTCAAATGATAGAACAAATAAAGAACTACGGAATCAAACCGAAAGAATACCCAAGTCCGTGTAGACGTCGATTGCAGATGATCTAAATAAAAGCACGCGTATACTTTAAAATGTTGTATTGGATAAGTGTGTGTCGCGGCGCGATGCCGCTGCGCGTCGTCATACGGTGTCCTGCAGCGGCGCGGGCGGGGGCGCGGCGAGTCTCGCGGCGCAGGCCCGCGGGGGCGGGCGCGGCGGGGGCGGGGGCCGCAGCGGGCGGCGGCGGCGGCGCGCCCGGCGGCACCACGCGCCCGCGCCCGCCGCCGCGCACGCGCCGCCCGCCGCCGCCCAGTACCACGCGCGCCCGCCCCCGCCCCTCCACTCCGACGACCCGCTCGACTCGTTGCCGCCGCCTGCGCGCCACACTACGTCTCAGCCGCTGTGCTTCATCTGGACCCTTCACTTATACCTCGTTTTGCGCTAACCGCTCCGCTCCCGCTTCCGGTGCTCTCGATTTCCCACCCCGAGGTCTCCTACTGTGCTATCGATGCGGAGAGCACCTGTGCACGTTCCGTGCTGTACGCGATTATACTTGTGGACTGAATTATTTATTTTGTTACAGAACTCGGTTTTCACCCGTGCGATATTTTTTCCCAGCATGACATCGAAAGAAGTATCTATCCTTTTGTTTTTATGCTCTCTGCGATTTTAAAAAGTCCGTCAAATATGTAGATTTATGTTGCGTAACTAAGTCGAGACACGAGGAGTCCAGCGATGTTCGAAAGACCACAGACACTTTTACAAAAGACTGTAAACGATGCAGGTTGTTAGGCTTATTTATATGCATTCAAGTAATTTTAGTGTCTAGGTCGATATTGCTTCACCTCGAGCACAGTTTTTGCTCTCGTATTATTCTACCCCTATCTGTTACAATAAAATGTTTCTGATAAAATAGACTTGTGCCTCGAATCGACCGTCCCTTATATTTTATTTTTGCTTTCTTAAAATTGGAAAGAAAACATCAATGATAATTGTCCACCCGAATTCACATACCTTAAACGAGTAAGGGTATTAAATTATCTATTGTTTACAACATGCAATAGATGATTTATTAAATCTGTTTAAAGGAGGGTTTGCGATGAATGACGCTCAATGGAAGTGTAGCGCAGGGGAAGGAAGGCAATGCACAGCAGTAGGTACAACTAATAACTACAGAAATCATTAACTTTTGATCAGTTGCAATTTTTATAACATCACTTTGTATTTATTTTGGAGTTAAGGATAAAATTAAATCGAATAGGAAAGTAGAATTTTATGGATAACACGTGAATGTAATCAGTCATTTCGTCTTAAATATTTGATACATCGATCCATCGAGCTGGATATTTATGCATCGCGTTATATTAAATCCAAAATATGATTTCGACTACTGTTCGTGACCGTTCAAATATGTATTGTACACGGATATACTCACAAGAAGTCTTCGGTCCGGAATCTCTCTCATTCTGATAACCAAGAAAATTCTACGTTCCTTGCGGTCACTACAATTATATGGAGATCGATGTGTTCACGGTTATATATTATAGCGACAGTTCACCTCGATAAATCAAATATCATCAACGTTCGGAAAAGCGAGTGATAGTGAAAAGCGAGACAGAGAAGCGTGCAGCAGGGTAGCGGAGTGATCAGTGAGGCAGCGCGGAGGCGGGTGCGGTGTACATATAGACTCACGTGTGCAGCGCCCGGTCAGTGCGGGGCGGCCAGCACAAGCGAGAGCACGAGCAGCGCGCCCGCGGCCGACACGCGGCCCGGCGCCCCGCCGCCTGCGCACACGCACACCGCGCGTCAGCCGCCCCGACCCGCCCCGACCCGGCCCGACGCGCCCCGACACGCCCCGACCACCGGCACTTTCCGATCGATACCGCACCACCACGCGACTCATGGCATTGTTACGCTATCACTGTGTTTTAATCTATGCCCCTAAAGCGTGCTCCGCCGCCGGTGGTGATGGATTTTGGTTATTTATTTATTTCTATTTAATTTACGGAGGTCATGCTGCAGAGTTTATTGAAAGAGTTCTCTTCGGTGAGACGACTCTTTCTTTTGTTTTATTTTAAAGGACCGATCAGAAAGTATTGCGTCCGGTGTATAAGTAGGTATGTGAGGCGGTCGGTCGACTCGGTACCCCGGGCCCCATAGTGCGATGACTCAATGCAAGCTTCGTCATTTGCGTATCAAAATTCAAAATGGTAATGTGAGCTACCGGTCGTAATAATTTTCAAAAGACACCGGAGACGCCCCGAGGCGTCGAAAGAAAATTTTGAACGATACGAATTATGTCGGTCTCTACTCTCCTGAGTCATCACAGTATTGCAGAAAACGTTAAGATAAAAAGTGAATACTGTAGAAGATTGAGCGGAGTTTATGAATGTAAGAATGACGATAAATGACAACATTTAGATAATAAGTAAGAAAAGTGTGTCTTGAGAGGACGCTTGTAAATAAAAATATCGGTAATGTTTGCAACATAGTCGATATATTCTGCTAATTCACCAACAATAAATATTGAACCCTTACACAAAGTATCACCTAACGTTATACATAGCTACCTATACTCATTGAGACAAAGATTGCATTGAACCATCAATAGAGAAATTATAGTGAACATAACATTAAACTTGATTTTTAAAATCGTTAGTTAACAGAACTACAGTGTTTAGTACAATATTTTACAACATTAGAGAAGAAAAATGCAAGAGTAAGCAGCAAATGTATCCATGCCGATTGTTCACTGCCAAGCATCTCCGAAATGTTCCATGTGAAGGGGTCGTACATTCAGAAACCAAAACGTTACCATGTACTGCTTACTCCATAATAATTTTGTTCATAAACAAGCTACATTATTATATTTAAAATTTATGATAAATGAGTAGGTATATATTATCAGTTTTAAAAACCCTATGATGCGACAACAGATGCATGGTGTAGATACAGTTATGTGAAATGCAAATTGCAGTGCTAATACAGTGAAGTTTTCAGAAAAAAAGAAATTTTCAAGTCCTCCAAATAATTTTTACGATATCTTACACTGAGTCGCTGAAGAACAAGAAACTAATGTTATAGTATCGATATGTATAACATGTAATGTAGTTGGTTCAATTTCTTTAATTATGTTCTAATGAATAATATCTATTTATCTCCTTTCTTTATTTAGATATGAAAAATCTTCAAAAACTTTCTAACAAGACTACCATAATACGAAGAAGAAGAAGAAGTATAATCTTGATATTAAGTATATTAGGCCCGGTTCTAGTGTATGTATAAAACAGATTTTTAAATTTATATCCACTCTCTCCGAGTTAAGTGTACATGTTCAGAAAAAAAGACAATTTATGTAAACCTTCATCGACAGGCAAAAACTCACAGTAGGAAAAAATCATTTCAAACCCTGTCATTTCCAAAGTACCTAACGAAGAACTTAAATGTTTATACGGATCGCGTCCATTACAATCGGAAAGAGATACATACAATTTGTTATATAAAATCTGATCAAAATCAATACTTAAACTTCAAACGTGTTCCATCAATATCGTGGTTTCACGTCGGGCGCCAATTATTCGTTGTGCTCGTTTTCACGAACTTTCCATCGTATATTTCAAAACTCTATATGCCAAATAATACCTTTTCTGTGATTAACGGGCGGGATAAAGAAAATTCTGATACAATTGATCAAAATCGAGAAATTCCTCCCACCGGAGAACATTTTCAAAATTTTAAATGAACCTGGCTAGAGACGAGACGTCGAGATCGGAGAGATCGGACTCGGTGATCCGTTCTCGGGAGGGTCCGATGCGTTCGGTGCGGGCAAGCGTGTGCATACTAACAGTGCGTGAAGGAGCGCGGCGGGTCGGTGGCGCAGTGCTGCAGCGGCGAGCACGCGGCGGCGGGCGGCAAGCACGCGCCCGCGCACGCGCCGCCCCCGCCCGCGCACTCCCCGCCCGCGCCCGGCAGCGACACCTCCGTCCACACCGCGCGCCACCCCGCCGCGCCCACCGACTTGTCCGCTATTATGAATCTGCGGCCGACCAACACAGGTGGAGGCACTCATCGATACACATGGAAGCGATAAATTCTCGACTCCCGCGAATCGAATGGAATTTTAAATGACGTATACGAATGAGGAAGTATATAAAAAAACATTAGTCATCGAAATCAACTAGATGTCGCTACGGTACGTTCTTGATTTCTCCATGACAACCCTTCCGGTCACAGAACACGGAAAAAAGGTTATAAAGGCGATCATGCATCCTTTGTAGGAAAACCGATGTCGCCAGTCTTGCCCCACTTTTAGTCCGCCGTACATCAGGCGAAATATTAGACCAATTATACAAAAGATAATGCACACACTTGCATTTTAAACATGCCAATCAGAACGCTCCAATATAACTAAACCAATCATGTTCAACCATAACAGACATCTATAGTGCGTAATAAATGTGTAAAAGCCATTTTAATTTGACATATCACACTAGTGATTGACATGAAGTTATTTATAATCGATATTAAAAAACAACAAGTCGATTAATTGGAAGGATACTAGAGTAATGATTTCTTTATATTATTTTGGATATACATTAAATTGTATTGATTTAATGTAACATTATCCTTTTTTAGATATTGATTGTTTATTACTTGGTTGATTTAATGAGGAATAATTAAATTTCGACTAAAAATACTAAAGGGTTTAGCCGGATACGTATGACGAGTCGGCCCCCAAATGGGAATCGATATTGAAACTTATGTTTTAATATCGACTTGATGTTCAAACACGATTTATGTACTTTTCGCGACCGACTTCCGCTTTGACCTTGAGATAGAGAGCAAAATATCCGTATGCTTGAGTATTACTGAATGTGATATATCTCTGAAGCTAATTAAGATAAAGAAGTGAAACTAACGCGAGGTGTTAGGTTACATTACAGAGTATATCACATATATTTTTTTATAATTTTTAGAATAAAAAATTACATTAGAAATTACATTAATTACATTTAATTTTGAGAAGTGTTCTACTTACTAATGGAAAGAAATCCTTCCTTTGGACCTACTTGAGGATGAGCTTCTTGTTTTGCAATTAATAACTGCACAAGTCGGCATTTTTAACACTTTTAATGGTATGTTTCACAGTACTTACAGCGCGCGCGTTCGTGAATGACTAAACATCGCGATCACGTGGTGAAGTCACGATCCTGTACATTTGTCCAGGATCGTGGCTACACGGCCACGCCCACAAGGCCTTTCTAACGTCTTTATGTGTTCTGTGCTTCCGGTTTTCTTTCTAGCCTGATACAAATACCAACTTTCAATATGGAGATCAAACATTAAAACATAACAGCTGTTTTTTTTATTATGAAGATATCATATATTTCCTTTTTAATATATGAATTAATCCATCGACATTTTCTTTCAGATTATTAGTAAAAATAATAAAATTCCTTTAATTTCTCAATGGCATAATAAGAAAAATACATACAAAGTGACATCTACGTATTTTCACGTTGTTACTTATGTTACTTCCATGAAATACAAAAATATTCCTAATATTATATTTGGAAACTCATATTTTTATAAAAACACGGACTAAAAGTTTAAAAAATATTTATAAAAAAAACAATAATATTAACAATGAAATACGACTTCAATCGATATTACTATATTGCGTTAAGTATATTTTGTTTTGAATTCAATGAAAATTTCCATGGGAATATTGCATGCCAATATTCCCGTTAAGTGTGGATTTTGTTGTTGAAATATATTTGTAAATTTATTAAGTAAATAAAGCCGGATTGTGAATTTCATTAGCGTTGATTCCTATCTCGAACTCTAAGTCGTAACAATATATTACCTACAAAATTTTGCTAAAATACATATAGCATTATTAGTTACATAATATGTAACAACTGTCACATATTATATTATTATCATAAACTTTAACGCACAAATAACATATATTATAAAGATTGCCCAGACAGCCATACGATTTTCACTACCGTAGCGTGGCGTAACGTCACTCCGTAGCTTGAATTTGTAGGAAACGTTTCAGCCGACTAGCAGCAATTTCACAAACACAGCACATCTCCGAAACAATTAATCATAAAAATACTGTTGCTTCTGTATTATTTGGACTATTTACATAAAAAATAATAAAAGTAGTCAACTAGCCTATTCTGCTCACGCTTTGCTAAACATTGCAACAAGTCTAGCGGGACACACAAATTTTGAAGTTTGTTTACTTTGATGAACGCACAAAGTCCAACATGACAGACTCCAAATGTATATTCAAACTTTCATAAATGCCCGTGCCACTCTTTGCATCTTTGTAGGTATTTGCACATGTCTGGCATGGGCTTAAGATTGAAATAATTCAACGGCGAACTGATATTCGTATTCTTCGAATATAGATTCTTCAATCTCAAAAATTTTACGAAATGACGAGGGACCAACACATTCTCGGTTATTATTTAATCTAGATTGATAGCGTTGATCTTATGTCCATTGATCATATCCATAACCAAAAGATTATGCCAGTAAATAAATATACTTACGAGAGACGGATGGAGTTGGAGGAGGAGAGGTACTGCCAGCGGTCGGCGGGCGCCTTCTCCCCGCACAACTCCAGCGGAGGGCCGGGGCTCTCGTACCACAGCCGCAGCACCGCCGCCGGGCACCCACGCTCTGTCACATACATACTTATATACTTCACCTCGACTTCAATATTAAGTGGCTGATTATTTATATAATATACGGATCTAACCAGATTCCTTCGAATACGAGATTACATTGGTAAAAGAGGATAAAGCAACTCTTATATCAACGGAATGTCGTATTCGAGATTCGTATAACAAGAAAAGCTAAATTTTTATTTTTGATCATTTTTGCATTAACAAAGTTATACTGAAAAATATTCTTCATGAATAATGAATGAAATATTCTAATCGCTGAGTAATTCAGTGGTTAGAACAGTCGCCCGGATTGCGAAAGGGTTCGAGTTCCATCTCAGAGTGCCAGGGAACAAGTGGATTTTTAAGCATTTTTCATTAAAAATAAGAAAAGCTAAAATTCAAAAAGCTTGTTAATGAGCCAGCTCCCGAGCGACCATATTAATTCATTTTATGCGAATCATGTATCGTTCGCTTTAAGATTATTCAATTTATTGAAAATGTTTCCGTTAATAACAATTAAACATAAAGATAAAAGATCGGTCTCACCGGTCAAGTGTCCCTCGACGGCAAAGTGTTCGAAGTTGAGCAGGAGCCGTTTGCCAGCGCGCGCGGTCACGAACCAGTTGCAAACCCGCGAGGCGGCCCCGCGCGCCGGCGGCTCGTACGGCAGCGGGAACCGCGGCGACGTGATCACCCCCCACTCCGCGCCCGACATGTTGCCGCCGCAGTCACCGAATATGGACTTCGCCGGCTGCCAACACGAAAGATACGCTATAAATTGTTTAGATTCTGGAATTGTCGAGACTTCTGATGAGATGAATTTAGCGCGAAAACCAGAGATTAATTTCATCGGATTATGTGTATGTGTCTTAGGCGGTACAATAGTCTCAGATTCATCTCGTATCGAATAATTTTAAATTCAAAATATTTTTAAATTACATAAATAAATGAATAGGCAGATATGATACCTCAAAGACGTAGCGAGCTTTGAATCCGGAAGCGACGCTGTCTTGGTCGGTATGCAGAGCGATAAGGAGTCCTAGGGCGCCGCGCGGGGATTGTAGCGGGCCCGGAGTGGCGAGGCCGCACCACCGGCCCAGCGGCACCCGCGACCCCTCGCGGCCCGTCCACCACGCCTCCACCCAGTCCTCGCTGCACGTGGCACCGCTGCACGTGCACACAAACATCATACTACACCCGCAACCACTCACGCCTCACCCATTAATACTAGGCTTTTTGACTATATGGGTCAAAGGTATACAAAAACATGACCAGTGAAAAAAAAACTAAAACAACAATGATTTGAATTGTTTTACCCGTAAAAGCCGGCCGTTGCGTTCCACGCGTCGGCCCTCACTTTGAAGTGGTCGAAGACAACGGTGACCTGTTCATTCGGCGTAGCGTCCAGCGTGTACGTGCAGTTGGTGTGCGAGGGGTAGTTGGAAGGGTAGCGGGGAGAGTTGAATTCGCCGCGCTTCTTCGCCTCCGAGCGGTACGTGAAGGCGCATTCCCCGCCGGGTGCCGCCGTGCCCGGCACTCGATATTCTGTTACGGACAGATTCCAGAGTGACGAAATACAAACATAATAGTTAGAACTGAAAATAATTAGAACTTCATAATAGAAATTTAAAAAAGCAGGTTTGAAACGATGTACCTTGCGATGGCGCAGTGATTAGCGAGCTCTGTCTGCGATACTGTTGTAAAGCAACTTTTATAAGGAATGAGTGACCTAAAATTTATTATCTCGAACTCCTCTGTGCTTCGGAAGGCACATTAAGCTGTTGATCTCGGCTGCATCCGCACTGAGCCCACGATAAAGGTTATGACCCATTCTCCCTATTTAATGTGATTCGATTGCATCCATAGGAAAGGCCCGAGCCCCAACAGTGGAGACGTTAATAGGCTGGCGATGATGAATCTAGCTAATAATATATAGGACTAATCATTTCCGAGGAGTACCAGTCTCAAAAGTGTATTTGGCCTTGAACCCCCGCCCCTGCAGTTCCCCGGAGCTGAACACCATAACCAGTCGAGGTCCGTCGGAGAGCAGTGGCGGAGGGAAGGCGTCGACACCCCCCACCCCCTCCCCGCACAGCTCCGCGTCGTGTTTGTCGTACGAGTCCGTCGCCTCCTGCCCGCGCAGATACACCTTCAGGTACCCGTCCGGACACGTACTGAAATAAACCACGTTCTAGTTGCTACTACTGAAGTCTTGAAAGTGAAACACATTTGTGAATTCCAGTGTTGTTATGAGAAGATTGTGTGCATGCAATAGGTTCCATTCCGTAAGATGAGATGTTTCTAAAGGAGACGAAATCCATCTAGCGTCTATCGAGTTTCTCCGATCAACTCGTTTCGAACGAATGTTTTTTGCTTTATTTATAAAAGTACTCACTCTGGCTTCGGGTTGTATCCTTTTGGTATAGAAAAGTTTTGGAACTCTAAACGCACTCTTTCTAAATTTTGCGAATCTTGCATACCGTATATAAAATATCTGTAAAAAAAATAATCATTTAAAAGAAGGTGCTTAAATGAAAAAAGATTCGTTTTTACAACAAGTAATACATTTGTTCTTACCTACAAACAACTTTTTGTATATAGGGGAATGGATAATTTGGATGGTACACAAATCCAGTCGATTCCTTTTTGCTAAGAATCTTCTGGTCGCATTCAGAGCCTCTAATATGCTCGGCATCGTGTTTACTTATAAAATCTGCAATTATATAATTCATTTAATATGCATGCAAAATCCATGTTAACATCTCCCATCACACCTATTATTTACAAAACAAATTTTAATAAAAATGGAGATGTAATATAATAAATACATTTCCATTTCGATTAACATTATGAATACATTTAAATAATGTTTTTTTGTAATTTAAATAGGTATCTAAAGTATCATATTAACAAGAGTGATTATTCAGCTACATTCTATACTCACCTAACTTAACAAAACTCTCGGAAAACTCGAAGATACCCTTGAAGCCGCGGTTCTGCGTGCTGGCGGCGCGTGGCAGCGTATAGAAGGTGACCAGCAGACGCTCGTCGCTGGAGTACAGCACGAGGTTGCGCTGCTGCCCGCAATAGGTGCCGATCACCGCCGACGAGTTGTCGGGCCCGTCGTACACGCGCACCCAATCGAACGGGCAACTTTATTTATGAACATAATATAATCAATCTTTAGATCTATAGGGATTATACAGAACTCAATTGTACACAAACACATATTCAACATTTTTATACCGACTTAAAAAGGATTTTGTCACTAACAACACTCATGTGGCGTCACACGAGTACTGCTTATGCTCCTAGTCGGTATGATTTTTTTCGACGTCTTCAACAATTACAACAAATGTTAAAGAGTCATCAAGAGACCCTCATGCTCAAAATCATTTCGGCAGTTTTAAATTTATCGTACAGACAGATGCCGCGGGAACTATTTTTTTCATCATGTGATATGACCACGTCTCGTCACGTCTCGTCGTGACCACGGCCGGTGCAACCCGGTCAAAACGTCGGCGCAGGTCAGTGTAAAAATCGCGTTTAATACCCATTATTATAAGTATGTGATATGATCAGTGGGACTTAAAATTACTGCGATTTATTGTAGTAACAATTATATATAAAGAAAAAACATGATAATAATTTGCCAGGTGTTTTTGTAATTTACAAAAGACTCAATTAAAATATGTGCAATAGGAGAAAAATTACCATTTATTTTTGTAGGTGGAAAATTAATGATGTCTTAAAGCTTTATATCACGCATCATACTTACTGTGGCCCGCCGAAAAACAGATCGAAGTCGCGGAACTCTAAGCGTATTCTCTGGCCGGGCTGCCCGCTGAACAGATAGTTGCAGGTCATGTCCTTCGGATAGATGCCAGGGTATGTCGGTGACAAAAGTAGACCCGTCTTGCGCTTGCTCGCCTCGATCACGAACGAGCATAATGTATTCGGCACTGGTGTCCCCACTTCGAATTCCGCTATAAATAATGTCGTAAAAAGTTTGAATATAGCGTGCTGCAATTTTAATTAAAAACAAGATAAAAGTGAACCACTGTTATAATAGTTATTTACTGGATTCCTACTATATCATCATCGCGGAATTTAATTAACTCAGATCCGTAAGCGAGTTGAGCCTCATAAGCCACAGATTAGAAGCCATAATTTTAATTTAAAGAAATAAATATTTTGACTGTTGCCTCTCAATACATCTATGAAAATATGTAATAAGAAAACATTACGATTCCTTCACAAAAAGTAGTGTTCATAATCTTAACACAAGAAATAAAAATAAACTTGCCGTTCCAAGCTTCAGACTTCAGAAAACCAGAGAATAATTACTGGGTAAAAGCATTGCTATATTCAATAAAGTTCCACAAAATGTAATTGACCTACCCATAAATAAATTTCAAATTCATGTAAAGAATAATTATTTACAACCTATGACCTACAGACTTTTAAAGTTGTATTTATTATTGTGATAATACATATTGTTTTAGTAATGACATGATTTATGTAAATGTCATCATTACTTATGATAAAGAGCTGCTAAGTTACTTTCGCTTGTTCGTCTTGTCAGCTAAAAGTTGCCCTGTAGAAGTGGTAGGGGGAAAAAATATTTTGGACGATCCAAAAGTGCTTGTAATGAGCCTACTTGAATAAAGATATTATCATTTCATTTCATAAGAAGCGATTGAAGTAACAAAACAAGAATTTCAGGTTTAAATTGTCAATTATTTAGAACTACTAGATTCCAGTACATATTAAAACAAACAAAGTGTCGTTCCGCGGCTAAAGTCAGATCAAAATTTTATGTACGGTAAATGGATGACACGGGTGTCGAACATAATAGGATTCAAAAGATGGTAAATCGGTATGACTGCCAATAACATGCACCCGCAAGAGGTCTATTGTAGTGCGATCATGGCACTTGTAAAAATGCCGAAATATCGTGCACTCTATATAAACAAGGCACCTCGTATCAATCCCTTAAATAACTATTACTATAAAAGTCTAAAACAATAGTAAATTCACCATGACTGAGCGCCAGCAAATTCAACAATTGGCGCCCACCGTGTTACTAAATTAGAAAAATATTTGGTTTATGTTAACTATCTATGGAAAAATAACAATTCTCGTATCCGTGGCTTTTTTATAATTGGAAAGGTTATTATTATGGGAAAGCTGGTCTTTTTGTTTTATTACAAAAAATACCATGCAACTACATGGCTGTTTGGCATTTGATTATATATTAAATTCAGTATTAAATAAAAATAAAAATTAGAGTTTTATCGATTAACACTATTATTGTGAGTATCGTTACCATCATGCTCACGACTTGAGATTGATTTAATACGAGCTCTTCTGTAATGAAAATGATAGGAGAACAGATAATTAATGAACAGATTCACCGAAAGCTGTTAATGCATTTTATTGAAATACGATAAGATATCGAATGAATCGATGCATTTTAATTGACATTGGTTGACATATAATTTAAGAAATATTCAACTAATCAAAAAACTGCAACTTATGTCAACAAATGCCCGGGCATAAAGATATTCTTAGTACAGACGTCAGTTTACTACAAAAAAACCTTTCTAATAGATTTTAAACCTTATCCTCTTACTTGTTAAACACAAAATTGATTGCTCACATTTTTCTTTCCGTACGCGGTGTAGGTACTATTGTGTGTAACTTTCAATCACCCGTATTTTCGAGTATCCTTATCTCTAACGACAAAAATTCATTTTATATTCGCCTTTATAGATTGGTTAACAAGTGTCAAGTGGTAGGTTCTCACAGGCATTGATAAAGCGATAGGTTCCCGTGAAGAGAGTCGGCGGTGTGTAGGCCTTGTCTGTATAGAAGGAGAGCGCGACGGCGCGGTGCAGGGAGACGCGTCGGCGCGGGGGGATCGGCCCGCAGTACCGGCCGCCGAACGCCGAGTTGACCAGCTCGCCCGCCTCCAGCGACGCCATCTCCGAGTAGATGTCCATGTACTCGTGCATGCATCTGTGTTAAATACAAATGCGTTTATTCATTGCACTAACTGCACAACTGAATTTTTCTTACCCAACTGCAAAACTAGGGTTATACTTTTTATATAACTATACAAAATGCGATCTTCCTTTCTTTATTTTTATTTAAGTCAGTATGATATAATATATAACTTACCTATATATTTCTTTATCAACGTAATACATTTACGTCGATATAGAAATATCAAAAGAAAATATAAAACAAACAAATGTGTTCCTATATACCTAATCTATTCATATATAAAAGGAGATGTCCTGACTGACTGACAGACAACGCACAGCCTAAACCGCTGGTCGTAGAAACTTGAAATGTGGAGAGAACATTCCCATTAATACGTAAAGGTGAACTAAAACGGATTTTTGGATATTCCATCCCAAAAAGGGTAAAAAAGGGTGAAAAAGTTTGTATGAAACTTTGTATTTCATGAAATGGATAAATCTTGCTGCCCACATCATAATGTGGCCTGGCCAGATCAATGAATGATTTGCGTTTAACGATATGGATGGTTGATAGTATGAAGGCGCTGATGTCGCAATGTTTTGTGTTACATTATTTAATTTTTAGGTTATACAACAAATTTAAAAAACTAAGCAACGGAAAACAATTACTTGATTAAGTTTAGTGAGATGAATGTAGGAGTGCAGTGCGAAGGTGCAGTAGCAAAGGCAATTTCTATAGTTTTATGGATAGTTCCTTTATGATAAAGACAGGATTGTGACCTAGCTCCAGAAGATGAAAAAATATATTGGAGGACACACAGCCTAGAACATTGATCATAGAGATTTGAAATTTGTAGGGTACATTCGTCTTATTGCGTAGGTACTAAACGCGAATTTTTGGCAATAGATGGCGTTAAGTATTCTATATCGCACTGTTTATATTTTTGTGCTCAATTGCCCAAGATTGAGTTTAAAAAAATGTAGTATGGAATTTAAGCTTTGCTTTACTAGATGGCGTTTATTCTAAAGTAATTTAGGCTAGCGTTTCTTTCAAAGAATTTTGCGTAGATTACGTTTTCAATTAACTTTTGTGTAAACTTTAGAACTGTTTTTTCCATATGTATTTCAAATTGGATTGGATTGGATTAATATCTATAAAGTTGTCAAAGATAAAGTGCTGAAACATATTGGATATTTGTAGTTATTTTTTTGTTGTAATATCTTCGAACGTAAATATCAAGGTAATATCATCATCAGCTCGAAAAACAACAGCGGAAAATATATGCTGTAAAGTAACTATACCACGCGGACGAAGTCGCGGGCAAAAGCTAGTTAATCCTGTAATATGTGTAACTATAAAGAATTTATCTTATGACATGGAAAGAAGATTAACATACCTACAGCATCGCAATAAAGACTTGTAGCGTTCTGAATTGCAAATAAGTGTCCCCTAAATAAATCAAAATTATTGTATCAAGGTTGGTCGGAGTTTGACCTAAATTCTCGGGCCTATACAGAACAATAATAACTTAACGGAAGAAAACATGTTTGTGTCTCGTAATTTATAGTTGTCTAGAGATAAGAGCGAGACAGATAATCAGAGTTGCCACCTTTTGGGAAAAAATCGGAATAATTTGATCTTGAAATTTTGATCCCATTTGATAACCTAGTCCAAAGTGATTTATTTTCGTACTATTAGACACTTATTTAAAATTAAAATACACATTTTTTATTATTTCCCATACATATTTTGTAACCAAAAACGTACTTAGGTATACCTTTTTATTTTTCAGCTTATTATCGATTATCAGTTGTAAACGAGAATGATGAATAGTAAGAATAATAACTCCAGAACTCACAATCAAGACAACCAAGCACTGCAAAATGCCACGACCATACGAACATAAAAAAATGACAATACAATTGCTTAATTTGTTCGGGACAAAAATAAACGCGGGACGCGGGACGTTGTCATGGAAATTGAGACCATCCCGACAGTATCGTGACGGGTGGCAACTCTGCACGTAATGTAGGTACTTACGCTGGAAGCTCCCCCACAGCGGCTCCACTGAAAAAAACAAGTTTCTAGTTAGTACAAAGACGTTAATCTCAATTGTTTTATAGTTATTTCAGATAGTTGATTTACGGCCGTATTTAAAAAAAGAATAAGAATGGAATGGAAAAAGTGACTCGATATATCTTTTTTAACAATTGCGCTATCTTTTGTCAGTAACAACCACACCACATAAAAAAGATAAGTTTTATTCTCAACGTTTAAAAAATCTACTTTGTCCCTGGTTCTCTGGGGTGAGTTTAAGCATTTGTAGCATTGTGAATGCAAAATTATAATCAAGATGAGTTTTATTCAAAGTCGCCATATTCTATCGTTAGACACCCTGAAGATTATCTCAGACTAAAAGCCTTGTCAAGAGAATTCTACGAGTATATTACTTTTCAGCTTAAAAGAAAATCGGGAGGTGGGTCGAATTCAACTTGCTAGAATTGATTACACATAAAGTGACAAATGTAAATAAATACTCGTAAATAAATGCTTGTAATAAAAGTAAAGTAGGGTCTTATTACTTGGGAAGTGAAAGAAATGAGAGATGTCGAGCGATAACCAGCTGTTTCGCTTTGCCAAAGACTGAAAAGAGATTAACCTTCACTAAATTACTAAATTAACCTTCGTTACGTATATAATAACTATAAAACACTTATGACAGAGAGGCAATATAAGAAAAAGCAGGTAGTAATGGCACTTAAAAAATATACAAGCGTGGCGTGGTTGTTGCCTTCTACTTGTATAAATTAACAGGACACCTGAAGGCCTATTCTATTTCTCCGAAAAAAAACATTTCGTCTATTTTTTTAAAAAACACTTTTTCGATAATTTATGACAAAACAGAAGTAAGACCTAGCACTGCCTCTGATGCATAGAACGTTTTTACGGGTGTAATTTTAAAAAAATATTTAAGAACAATTCGAATTTTCTTCTGTTTCTTTTAAGAGAAGAAACAGAATAAGTTAGCAGGGGTCACTTTATTATTTAAAGAAACATACTCTGGTGGCTTTCCGCGTAGGTCGAACGTACGGAACTCGACGAGCACGCGCTGTCCCGGCGCCGCGAGAAATGTGTACAGGCACTGCCGGCTCTGGTTGTTGGGGTTCACCAGCTCCGGGGCGTGGAAGGTCCCGTTGCTCGCGCCGCCGCGGCTCACGAACGTGCGGTCGCACTCTGCCAATACCATAAAAATTAACTGTACAAGTGTTGTTCTACTTATTTTAATATTTTCAATCGCACTACTCGTTAAATAAAATTAATTTTTAAACAGTTTTGTCGGGTGTACTTTTGAAAAATTATTTCGTTTTTGTGACGTTTCGGATACCTACTTTACAGGTTCCATGTACGGAAACGATATAAAATAACAAAACTATAAACGACCCGATATTTGAAAAAGTGATCAATATTCAAATACATGGGATAGAACCATTAAACATTACCTAGTTTTATATAAAGTATAGTCCTGTGTGAACCATATTACAAAATATTGTAATTAACTTCTGCGATGGTCACTTACATTCGAGTGATATCTGCAGCGTGACAACGGAGTAACCATCAAGGTACATGGTAGAGATCAAGCCAACAATTTATCACTCGATTTCACCATAGGAAAATCATTTCTCTAAATGTGAGCTCATCATCATTTCTCAGCAATAAAAAATCAATTCAGCAACCCAATCTGATAAAAGTTTTGTTACGCTTAAGATCCATAAATCATTGGCATTGACAGGATGATATTATAGCTAAATTAAATTAAAAAAAAAGAAACGTTAATAAATATCAGAAAGTACCTAATTTATACCGACGATTAATGTATTGTCTTCGTGTCAGCAAAATCCTTTTATCTCTTCTGCTTCAAAATACCTAAGGCTTTTAATAGCGTTCCGAATTTCAAAAGTCCCATGTCCCAGCAAAGTCCACAACACATTTTGCTAAAACCCGTCATACCTCGACCTTTCCAGGCCACAAAACCCCTTTGTAACATTGTTGAATTTCGCTGAAAAATTGAGATAATACGCCGCGCCCTTCTTCATTCATATAGTAAGCTGTTTATTCGACCCGCACCCTCCAAAATATATACCGTTATTTTCGCCGACTTAAAAAACAAAAGGAACTTTTTAATGGTAATGATTTGTATATTTACAGTAAAAGACACAGCTTTTCTCTAATGATAAAGTCATAGAGTAAATATAGAGGTTAAAGACTGTTTTTCTTTAATTTACAGAAAGATAAGTTATAATAATTTTTACAGAATTATTTTCGTGTAAAAAATAAACATAGAAAGAATTTTTTTAGAAATACTTGCCGTTAGTATAAATTCGTTTTTCCTATTGTGTATATAAATAACAATCAATAATTTAGGTTAAACAAGATTTTTTTTATAGGTATAATTTGAAATAACTTACGTTACGTATAAAATCTATTATTACATTTGCAAAGTCACCTGGACTTGGTAGAGTTTTATATTCTTTCTTCTATAGATCTTTTATAAACTAGACGCTACCAGTGGGCTTTCGCAGCTAATGATAGTAATATGTCTAGATACGCATAGATACCAAAAAAGTGAAGATACTGTAGCATAAAATATTGTTTTAGTACAGAATCAATAAATGATTAATCTACCTATACTTATTATTAACAGATCTTTTATTTTCAAAATTCAGTCATGATCGTTTTGTCATTTAAGAAGTTGAAATCATTGAAGAAGTTGTAGAAATAACATTCAAGAGAATTCTTAAGTCATTATATGTAATTACAATACATTTCAGCTAAGGAGCAACTTCTAGATATGGTACAATTGTCTTCATAATTATTCGACTTTTTGTTTTTTACCCATGACAAAGTTATAAATAGTAACTTTATCCAAAGCTTATACCTATAATAAAACCGTACGTACACACTTAAATCACATTTATCGCCGAGAACACCGTGGGCGAAGGATTTTCTGCCCATCGTTGATCCTGCTAGT